TCTCCCTTATAGCACATGAAGTCTTCATCTGCTAAAGCTATTTGCTCCATTTTACAAGTTTGGATATCATACTTATAGAACTTTTTTAATGCCAATAGCAACATTTTTCCATGAAAAACAACTGGTGGACTTGCTACAGGCCGCTGAATAATTGTTGGTGGACCCTGTATAGTGCATCATCGTTTACTCGAGTCTATTCAGGGTTCTGCTTCTGCCCAACACTCCAAATCTCTAGTGATAACACTGGACTGAAAATGAAACAAATAGAATTCATCCTCCACTTGGGTTGAACTGGAAGACTTTACATTGTTTGGGTTACATGGAAACATACTCGCTGTGTTCGTTTGTGGTTGGGAACCTTCCCTCGTCACGCAAAAGAGAGCGATGGATTAGCGTGTGATTAATTCAGTATTGGTTAAAAATATTTGAAATAGATTAATATGGTTTTTTAAAGCAATTAACTTTCCTATAGAAAATTTTTGCTAGAAACATACTCTTTTCATTTTATATTGATCATCATATAAGTATTTTCACCAAGATAAAGGACTTAACTATACCGTACAATTTATTTAATGTGAGTATGTGGTGACAACAATCAAGAAACATGTTGTCATGGGCATTGGGCACAAAGGCAGAGGCCGTAGGCAGTCCATATCAATTAAGTTAGAGTTAAGATTATTAGTTAAGTTAGAGATAATATTAGATTGAATCCTTACTCAGGGGTCAAGCTATACCATCTATATAAGGATGAGATTGTATCTATTATCATTAAGCAATGAATATTAATTAGTCTAATCTCTCCCTCCCAACAATGTTTTTCTCTCTAGCCTAAATCTGCATCCCTTCTCTAGGAGCCGACGCCACCCGGCTATCTTTCCAGCGGTGTTTATCCCATCATGACCTTGGGTCATGACACATGTAGACTTTTTACTCCACTACGAACAAGAAACGAGCCATTACCTACCCCTGAATGCCTGCATGCATGTATGCATACTCAATTTGCATGCACAGATGTAATACTATTGCGTGTCAAAGTCAGGGCTATATAATGGTCAATTTGAAATATCTGATTTTTGGTTATATGATAATTAACATGGAATTATAGGAGTATTAGTATTTAGTAGTTTGAGAAGCGTACGCGTGAAAATGGAAGTTAGCATAGCTTAGTGGAGAAGAACCTTATACTTGTTGCTACGAGGGTCAACTCCAAATCTAAGCGTTGTACCATGGTTGTCTTTAGTTCACACTGAAGTTTAGAAGTTTGGTTGAAATTGGTACGATGTGATAGAAAAGTTGTGTGTGTATGAAAGTTTGATGTGATGGAAAATAATTCTCTGATTGACAGGTTGTAGACCATCTTTTTTGTCCTTCATGTTGCAAACGAGGAATAAATCATTTCAGTGCATAGGGACGCATCTATAATCTGTGGAAAGTATGTGAACGTATTGCATTACCACTCATACTTATATAGGCCCATTAAGAATGACCCTTTCTCTTCGACCATTCAAGGTGAGCAATGATGAAAAATGGGCTGGATATCCTGCGATGCTAAGCCTTGCATACAAGCTTTAGCTCTTCCTGAATCGTCTACTTACTGAATTATCAGCAGCAACCAAATTTTAATTTATTTTTGAGGTTTTTTTCAGCCTAGGCTATCATCAAGGATTGACTTTTAAACCGTGAATAATATAAATATAAAGGTTTTATTTATTAATTATTTTTTGTTGCTACATTGATATTTCTATAGTCCATCAGCCGTAGGTTGAGCAACCGCACTAGTACGAAAATGATTTTTGTGTGTGGACGAAAAGGATTTTCGCGTGCAGATCTTGCGCCCATCTGCAACGGGGTGTCTGCAAAAATACATTTTTTTCGTGTGGGTGACGCACCCGCTGTTGATGCGAAAAACACACACTAGCCTAGAAGATCTGCTTAGCTCCAGTACAGGTTATTTGATGAGATGCAGGCATACCAGTTAGTTTGATCCTACAACTGACAAGATATATAAACAATAGATCAAATAGCCGATCGGCCGACAAGCCGATGAAGTAATTCCAGACGATGTTGATACTAGCCGATGCCGATAGGGTCTTGATTGGCTATATGTCCAATGTAGAATCTGGCGCATGAATAAATAATCATACAAAGACAATCGGCTAATGATAATCAATATAGTAATATAATCCAGTAGAAACCAACTGTCTAATAATGATATGATAAAATAAGCACAGATTCAAAAGTTAAAGCATACATCGGCTGGAAGACCGATGTCATTAAATCCAGAAGATTAGATAAACAGTGGAACCTTTATTGCGATTGGCTAAATCCAACTTCTATGTAATCCTTATAAGCCAATACAACGTTCAGATAACTCATCGGCTGAAACCCCGATGAAACCCTTATTGGCAATCAAAAAGCAAGCTAGAGATTATGGTTCTAAACACGACTTAGTAGATCAAACTTAATTGATGCAGCACTAAGTATGAAAAGAAACATAATATCTAGACAATCAAACCCTTGATTGATTTTCAGGGTGGTAGATAGCTTAGTTAATCTAATCTAGCAAGATAATTTAGCCGATACTAGTATAAACCCTAAAACGAATCTCAGCCGATATGATGAAATTAAGATGCTAAACTAGATTAACTACGATATATAATATATTGGTAGGCAAATATATCAACCGAACCAGAGCAATCCAAGAGGTCAAATATACTGATGCAGCCTTGAACGACGCCAATGTAGCCAATATAATTGCCAGGGCCAACGAAACGTAGGACTTACCCCTTCCTGGAGATCGAAAACCGATGTAGACCCGCGTCAGATGCCAAGCTCCGTCGGATGATAAGTAAAAACCTCGGTAAAGAGGGTGGCGATGCACCGAGAGTAGTTGTATTGATCTGTGAGATAAATTACAATGACCCCTGACGTACATATTTATATCCATGGGTAGATACTACTCCTTGTAGGACACTAAACACACTTTCCTAAAGTTAAAAGGAAACTAACATACTACTCCTTGATCTCGGTCACTTCTGGATAAACTTTCTTTAATTGATTAATTTCCTTAACCGAATATAGCAGGAATTTGACTATTGGTGACTTGATGACTCTCATTGGCCGATTTCAGGACTATGAAGCCGATACTGACTTTAGGTCGATGATGACTCCGTGGCTTACCAAATTTCACTTTTAACACCTGCGCGCGAAAATCAGATTTTCGAGTGCAGGTGGCTTACGTCGCCCACACGCAACAAAAAGAACCCAAAAAATAAAATCAAAACCCTAACTCTAGCCGTCGCCCGCCGCCGCCCTCCTCGTGGTTGCCGCCATCGTCGTCGTTGCCGTAATCATCTTCGTCGTCACCGTCGCCGCCGCCTTCCGCCGCTCCCGGCCGCATCGCCGCCACCCACCGCCATATCCTGGCGAGAGAGGGGCACCGCCTCTAGATCCGGGCGGGCGAGGGGCGACGCCGCCAGGGAGCGCGCGCGAGGCCGCAGCTGCCGCCTCCCGTCGCCCGCCGCCTCTCCCGGCCGTCGCCGGCAGCCGCGCGCCCGTCGCCTGCCGAGCCTGTTGCCGTGCCCCGCGCCCGCGTGCCCACGCCTGTGGAGAGAGAGAGATAAGGATGAGTAGGTGGAGAGGATAAGATAGAAAATTTTGAAGTGGTTGAGAGGGAAAAATGCCTGAGGAGGGAGGGTATTTTTGCGTGCGGTGCTCTTAAGATGTCCGCACGCGAAAATCGATTTTCACGTGTGGGCCTCTTAAGGTTCCGCACGTAAAAATAGGCTTATTTTTGCGTGCGGACCTCTTAAGGAACCGCATGCGAAAATCGATTTTCGCGTGCAAGCATTTTAAGGATCCGCACGTAAAAATGGGAGGACGATTTTTCTAGACGCTGTCAGTTATGGACCGCCTGAAATCTAAGAAGTGGTTCGTCCAGGAAAATCATTTTTTATAGTGCCGGTGCCATAGATATGACTTGTAGTCTCAACAGAATGCTGAAACATCCCCTCATCCGAGATGCTTTGACAAATAATTGATACAATCCGCGACCAGGTGCTCCATAGAACACGATGTCTGTGCATCTTTTCACCACCATGACAAGATTCTCAAACCGCACTTGCACATTATAATGGAGTACTTGCAATGCTAATCGGACAACTCAACTTCCAAATGCCATTCGTGTTGGAAAAATTGATCTCTCGGTTTGAAAAACCGGGAGGAGATCGCGCTACACCATTTTTTCCACCCGTTGTCTACGCAAAATCAAAGCGATTCAATTTGTTTTAATTCTTGATTAACTACGCGCCATTATCAGTGGCGCCCAATTTATTTCCTTTTGAGTCGCCCCCGATTCCCTACAGCGCTAAATATAAAAGAATTTGTTTTAATTCTTGATTAACTATGCACCATGATCGGTGGCGCCCAATTTATTTCCTTTTGAGTCGCCCCTGATTTCCTACAGCGCTAAATATAAAACGGGAGACCAGCCCAAGAGTGGATGACGATCTCTCTCAATCTCAATCTTCCCGACAACCAAACCCTAAACCCGATCAACATATGCGCTGGAGGAGAAACATGTGCAGTTCCGAGACAATGTAGGTGACGACCAGAAGGCTGCCGCTACCCCACAAGTGATCGCCGGCGACCCTTTCGAGATCAAGCCGACATCCTCACCAACGATACGCGAGGTGGTTCGAGGTTCCGCGTCATCTACACCCACTCTAGTTCAAGCTAGAACAATTGCAATGGCTTCAAACAACAGTAATTTAGACCTATCAGGTAGCACGCTACCTTTAAAGGCAAAATAAAAACTTTGGTTTCTTCTCCGTCGGGTGGACCAAGATGCAAAGAAACTAATTTGATTTAACCCAAAATTATCAAAGAGAACGCATACCTGAATGTCAGTATTCCAGGTGGAGTACCTTTAACGGAGCTCGTATTTCATATTTTCAAAAATCGACATGAGATAATTCCACCTGTAAAGGTCAAAACTAAAATTTGGTGCAATGCACAAATGCCGCGTCATCTTTAAATGCAACGAAGGCATCAATTACAATATGACGATACGACTGTAGTGCCCTGCGTTGCAATAACTCGAAGCACACCAAGCAGAGGCCAGATAAGGTGTGCGGCGGTGCGTTTTTCGAAGGGGAAATCACTTATTTTTGTTATAGAGCAACACTGAATCAACCTATTTACATGATCGCTGAACCTTGGACATCTTAGAAGTCACTTTGGTAGTACAATCTGCATGCTGCGGACAAGGTGCAGATAAAACAAAATTACTACATTGTCAGGCAGACACTCTCACACTCCTATCTTCACACACTACACTGGCCGGGGTAAAGACGGATCCAACTGAGATTTTCACTGCCGGTGGCCCTCCGGGAGAGGAACCACTCTATAGAACGGCACAGCTCTTTGTGGTAGATTTCCATCCTCCTCGTCATCATCAAACAAGAGTAGATAACTGCCAAAAGGAAATAAGACAAGCATATTTTCAGGAAAAGCAAATGTTGCTATTGAAATGTTAGTCATAAGAATATTAAGAAGAAAGTCCGATTAAAACCTTTTACACAAACATGTATGTTTATTTTAAGGTCCAGTTTGCTTGGTACCATCCAAAAAAATCATCCGAGTTGGAGAATCCATATCACACCAACTTTTGGGGCTCACTTTTTGTAAGTAATTGATTTTTTTAGCAGACTTCTGTTTTTTTTTTCTAGCCAGGAGTACTTTTTTTTTGTTCTAGATATTGAGTTTTTGTAGGTCCATTGTTTTTTGTTCTAGATATTGAGTTTTTGTAGGTCCATTGTTTTTCTTTAGCCATAATGAGTTACATGCTGGAAGGAGGAACAAAAATATCTGAACACAAAAAAAAAAAGATCTCGCTGGAAACACGTAATGTATGATTGTATATGCATAGCTTATTAAGTTATGGTAGAAATACAAATTTTCTCCAGATACTGCAGTAAGGTAGAAATACAAATTAAACAAATACAGAACCATCCTAAACACATAAAATTAAATAGCAACACATGAGACTATACAAAGTTGTAAAAACATAAATACTTACTCGTCAGATTTCCTCTGCATTGTTTGTAGCCCAGTTTCACATCAGCATGATGACAGAGCAAAAATAGTTAATCACTTATCAAACAATAGAAATCATAGAAATGTAATAGTTGTAAAAAAGATACTATAGATGGCTCTGCAAAACCAATACATGTTAGGGAATCATTTGTGGAATAAAATCATGTCCATGAAACATAATGTTGAAATTCTTCGTATAAACAAGACATGTCACACATGTAAACGGAGCTTGCTGGTATTAACAGCATAGTATTATTCGATAGTATCATAGTAGTAATCAGATTAGCCACTAATCAACAATGAAACCAGGTTACACGTTTCTGTTTCAGCCCTTCTAAGTTTTCAGCCCTATTTTGGCAGCCAATAGTTCATCAGTCACCACTCAAGACCAAGGTGGTAACCAACTTCTCAAGTTCAGACCGTTAGAACAACAGTTAGCATGAGTTTGGATACAAACAATCTTAATGGTTTGTTTCGAATACATGAGTTTTCCTGATTCCTTCAAAAAAGGAACTACTAGGATTCCTGTGAGATATAGGATTCCTGAGCTCCAAAGGAGAGAGCCCTAAGATAATCAAATTGGCATCAGAGCTCAAAATCTTGGTGGTTACTGATTCAGAGCCTGTGACCAGTCACCAACAATCTGGCAGGAAGAGTTTAATTTCGAAAACTAAATTTGAATTAAGAAATCCTCGCAAAAAATGAATTAAGAAAATGTAACTGGCAGGCAGTTACCAGTATTTGAATTAAAAAAACAAAGAACTCTTAAGTTATGTATTAGAAACACTAGTTGCTTACTCAAGACTAAGAAATCATATTTCCATGTATATCCAGTAAAATAAGGTTTCGGGGATGGGTGCCCATGATTTCTTTGGCAACTGGTTTTTGAAGCCTTGATTGGCATATGGTGTGCAAAATAGCGGTCTGTATAACAGAACTTATAATTTATTATCGCAAAGCAATGCTTATCAAACATACGATAACTGTATTCGAAACGAACCTTGATTGACTTAGTGGTCCCAAGATAATCAAACTACATCCCACTAAGTCAGATACCATAGCCAACCTTAAGACAATCAAACTGGGATGTAGTGTTCTAAATAGTGATATGCAATAGGAATTTGTAATTTGTTATAGCAAAACTATGCTTATTGCTATGCAAATCAGTGCAATTTATACTCCAAAAAGGAGTGGTGGTGGTGAGTGGTTAATCTACCACCCCACCACCAACTCCCAACCTTTTTAGGAATGGAGAAAGGACATGTGGGGCCAGAGGGCCCACATGTCAATCACCCAATCGCCAACTCTGTTTATGTGGAAAGGAAAAAAAGACACTGTGCAGCTAGAGGGCCCACATGTCAGTAACAAAATATATATAGAAATTACGAGATGATGATGGTAATGCAGGTTAATGATAATTTTCATTAAGTAAAAACCCATTGCAACGCACAGGCAATATGCTAATAGTATCAGGAATTCAAAACTTGACCAGGTAGTGCCAACAGGCCGATAATAATTTCCACCAAACTGCTGGCAAGAAGTAGCAAGCAAACAACTTGCAGTTACACCCATACCAGTGCAAAACAATATGGTTACTGGAATAACTGAATTTGGTTGGGAAGCAACCAGCATCCGATGTGAACCGGATGATATGTCAATTTGCACGCGTATCAACGAAAATAGTCTGTTATTTTTATTTCAGACAGTATATTCTTTCAGCTTAAATTGTACTATTCAATTTCAAGTGCCAGTTACATTGGTGTGAAACCTAAAAATAGTGGTATTTTACATAGGTTCTAACCATTCAATTATGTTATTCTGAAGTGAGAGAACAAAAATGTAACATCTCTCGGGAATCTCAGCAAAAGTATGCAGATGCATTCCTAAAGATAAGGCTAAGAACTGACATGAAAAGGGAAACTAATCAAACTACTTACTAGAGATTCCTTTGTATGTTCATAACTGAAATCGGTCGTGTAAGTTCAAAATATTGGGATAAACATGCATTATACAGCAGATTAGAGTTAAAAGAGCTCGGTAACCTTTTGCACTGTCGAAAAAAGAACATAAGATACCCATGTATGGGATCTTCCTGCCATAATTAGCATGTGTATTTAGCAATATTGTCAAGTGTGCTCAACTAATTGCACATATCTACCATCTTCTCATGTTCAACGAATTGAATTGTTATGTTGAAAACTTGAAATTGGTCTACATATTGCTGCATAAGTGATAAATTGTACAAACATTGTCATGGGACAGAAAATGTATCTATACAAATAACAAATATGCTTCATCTCAGCTTCAATCAATAACAACTACCAAATCCATTACTTTGGTGGGAGAGCATCTGGATTAGAAAGCATTTTGATGCTCATATACTCCCCATTTCTAGGATGACTTATTTTCAAGTTCATACTTTCAAGGTAACCTCAACTTAAATGTTTTCAACAATCAACCATACTTCTTGACAGAACTAAAAGTTTCAAGTGTCAGAAAAAGCTCATCATCTTGATGGTATAATTGAATATGTAAATAGATGAAACTGACCATATAACAGGGAATACATCCATACATATGGACAGGACAGGACTAGAACACAGAAAGAAACTCAAATTACTGTCAAGACTTAAAAGATTTACATAGGATTCATGAAAGATTTTAAGATGTTACCTTACGATTAGAGGCAACAGTAGCTCTATATAGTGCTGTTGTGCTAGGATAAACAGCTAAGACTTGTCGACCCTGCCCAAAATCTGGGGCACTGGAAGGATCCCCTCTCTTTGGAAATGGAATAATATCTGACATAGGCAACTTGTACTTCCTATTACAAAAGGGGGAAGTAACATTATTTTACATGTGGAACAAACATCAATTATAGTGCAAATTAATGCTCAGAGTTTGCAAATGTTTCACTAAACATCATATACATAAAAAACTAGAGTGCTTTAACAAGAGTACAGCGAACATGCGTATAGCATGGTGGTAAATGCCTTCTGTTGGGAAGCTACTGACCAGGGTTCAAATCCTGGTCTTTCACCAAAAAAGGTCACTCGCTGGTTCCCCCAAAAAACATGGGTTAAGAAGAATCGACCTATGGAGGGTGGGCCTCAAAGCACGGGTTAAGGTTCGATCCATTGAGGGCTTCTCCCCATGTAGGGAAAACCGGTTTTTGTGACCGTTCTCGGCCCCAGTTTCGGGTGCTTTTTCTTAGTTGCAATACCTCTGGGGAGGTCTTTCCCCTTGGGGCTGAGTTCTTTTTTTTACAGTAGTACAGTAGAGGGAAACAGGTAAGGAAAATGAGGAAGTTGATGGAAGTTAATTTTCAACCCTACAACACAATTCAACTCAATTAATCAAAATTAACTGAGTCACATCTTAGCAGTAAATATCTATAAATAATCCAAAGGGACTAAGGTTTAATTATTAGAATAAACTTAACACACTATTGTTACTTTCACAGAATCATTAATCCCTCGTATGGTATTATCTTACCCATTCTCAACACTAGTAACACCTCTCTGCCTAAACACACATTTGGTGGATCCTGTAAAGATGTAGGAGCCAGGAAAGGAGTACAAGAGCAGAGATCCAAACCGACTGATGTTGAAGAATCAGCGGATGAGTTGTGGTTAGGGTTATCAAGGAAAGGGTCACACAAAAGCTTGTGGGTTGTGGCTGTAGGATACTGTAGGATTTTTTTTAATGAAACTAGAAGTGGTGATTCCTGGTCTCTGCACCATGGGTGCTCATAACCATTACACTGCCATAATCAGCGATAAAAAAAGAGAAACAAGATAGAAATACTCCCTCCGTTTCAGGTTATAAGATGTTTTGACTTTAGTCAAAGTCAAACTGCTTTAAGTTTGACTAAGTTTATAGACAAATATAGTAATATTTACATTACCAAATTAGTTTTATTAAATTAATAATTAAATATATTTTTATAATAAATTTATCTTGGGTCGAAAATATTACTATTTTTTTCTATAAACATGGTCAAACTTAAAGCAGTTTGACTGTGACCAAAGCCAAAACATCTTATAACCTGAAACGGAGGGAGTAGAAGACATGGCCAATAAAGGAATCATGCTGAGGCCAATACCAAGGAACACCCACACCAACCTTGCGACAGCTTGCTTCAACAGGAACAACCAGCATCCTGATGCCAGGGAACATGATGTGGCCTAGCATCAAGGAAATTGAAGGCTACACCTAAATCACCTCAAAGGATCATTGACTTATCATCGTGCCCAACCAAAGAAGACCAGACTGAAGGTCAGACCAAGGATTTGCATCCCAGAAATCAGTTATGATTAGTCTTTTTTTTGTATGACATATGCTTGCTAATTGCTTGGAAGCCCCTAATTAAGTTGAACCTAGGCACCTTAGGAGTTGCCGCTGACCATCTAGCACCTTCTTGAACACTAGTTATAATAGACAAACAGACAATGCTGCCATAGTGCTATGGCCAATCCACCTGATCTGGCAACTAGGTAAGGACGCCATCTGAAAATCTGCATGCCTGAGGGCATAACCGATTCATGGGAGACCTGACACTAGTGTCGTGGCAATATCTGATCTGGCCAGATAGATCAGAGGCCAGACTCAGACAGCACACACGCTTGACATCGCTGTCTGTCCACCAGGAAACAACAGCTGCAGGCAGAAGAGGCCTGGTCGCAGCAGCAAAGGTAGGGGGAGGAAAGGAGGAACAGCAGCTTATGTTTAGTCCTCTAGGTTGACCCAAGAGGCCTCAAATGTAGCGTAGGATTAACAAAATGAACTAGATGGTCCCAAAGGTTCAGTATCAATGAACATTTCAGGAATCGGAATATATTGAAAAATGACCTGATTGTTATAGTAAAAGCAAACAAGAAACCAAAATGACAGTCCTGGACTTATCTCATACTTTTGGGCACTCTCTTCATCGTCACCTGGCTCCTCATCAAGTACCTCATATCTGCAAATTCAATGAATTCATGAATGCTTCCTTCAAGAATAGCAATATTACAGAACCCCACTCCCCCCCCCCTCCCCAAACACACACACACACACACACACACACACACACCCCAATAAAAATACGACATATATTCAAGTAGGAAGTAAAAATGGGCACTGGGGGCTAAGATGATGTCAGACGATCCAAAGGAATCGGACATGATTTTGCAAGTGGTTTTCATAGTAGGGATGACGAGTCGTGTCTCCACAAGACTAAGCCAAAAGGGTGGCACTATGGTCCATTTGCACCAAGAGAGAGAGCTAGTCCATTAGAGACAGGAAGAGGGGTTAAATGGAGGTAGTGCTGTGCTATTGTGAACATGGGTATGGTCTTCTCTCAGGACAAACAGGGCGCTGCATAAGCCTCGTCTCAGGAAGGATGGAGCATAGAGGCAGCACAGTTCAGTGTGGTGGAGGAGAAAGCAGTGTGGGCATGAGGAGCAGCCAAGTACAGGAGAGGACGAGGTAAAACCACAATAAGAGGCAGCGTGGTAGACAAAGTGGTGGCAGCTTTTCACTATAAAGATGGTCACAGACTAGAGTTCTCTCCTACTAATCTTAGATCTAATGGTTAATGGTGACAGTAATTGAGATCAAACAGCTCAAAATTAAACGGATGGCGTGGCTCAACCAAAGAGCTGGCATTCCAACTACTTTGGTTATATATAGAAAGATATAAATAGAGTAGCCCCACAGCTCTGCTGGCTGTTTTCATATTCATGTTTGCCAGGCTCTTCTGGATAATCATGCAACCTGAAATGATAACCTTCTTGTTATTTACAATTTCCTTGTCTACCTCAGATATCCTAAAATGCTCCATAGACCCAGGACTCATGGTCCTCTCAAGTAATAATGACTACAATAAGACAGATTAGGAAATAGTTAATAGTCTAAAACTGCCCTCATCCGCACAAAGTTTTTTCCCCTAGAGCAAGTTTTCATACAAGAAATATATAATATAGATAAAAGGTGAATAAGACATACTCTTTTGTTTCCTTATCGAAATGTATCACCTTCACCACAAACCATTCATCTTTTTCTTCGTCTGATTTGACCTTAGCTGCAACCTGAAATGGCATAGCACAAATGTGAGACATTTAATATATACAGCATGTTATCGCACATGTGCAAAAGAGCAGAACTGATTTATGCACAATTGATGATGTGCTAAAGAGAAAGGAAGGGTAAATTTCTTTATCAAGCATATCATCCGCTACAAGTACCAACATCAAGTATCAAGTTTTTTTAGCGCATGGTAAAATGTCTCAAATAGATGTCAGTTCAAAGACTGGAAAGGGTAATATCAAGACAATCCTAATTAACCCTGGACCTTGGAGTTCTTGCCGATTAGTTTGATTAAATATATACTATAGACTTAACAAGTGAAAACAAAACAAGTATGGTTGAACAGTTTTTATGCAGAGGATTTCAGTAATTTTGGTGTTTTTAATTGATAATGTTCATTAAATTTACATAAACTTACATACAAAAATGGATGCAGCGTTCTTTTCGTAAGAATGCAATGATGTTTTCATTCCACAACACAAAATCATTGCAACTGAATGATGAAAGTATCTTTTTTTCTAGAAAAACATAAATTATAATTTACTTCTGTATGCTGGTTTTTCCAGCAGTACAGAGGGCATTAAAACATGATGCTGAACAAGTCCAAATTTAAGGATAATAGAAGTTACAGTAACATCTCCAGCTCAGAGAAACAAAATAATGTTCAGGAAGCAATAAAATCTAGGTACAGGTCTTTGATGCAAGAAAAAAAATCATTACATAAAATAGATAACAAACCCCAGCCGGGTACCACAAACGTTATGGAGATTTGTTCCGGTTGAATATTCTTCCCATGTTTTTTTGCAAACTTCTTCAAAATTTTGCTTACTCAATCTTCACTAAATCTTTAGCAATACATTTTTTTTAAGTAGTTCTTGATGACTCCAAGACCAAAATGCTATGTTAAATAGGATAATTGGATCTCACTCTCACATGTACATCCCATGAGTAGGTTTCATGTAAAACCATCCTAAAATCTATATATGGCAGTTGTGAGTATTCAAGACGCAGAAATAAAAAGAGTCAGGCATGTTGGGTGTTTGAGGGAACACATTGCAAAATTGACAGCCTGAACAAGATTTAAACAACCCTGTTAAAACTAAAACACCACATAGGAAAGTTACTAACAAGTCTTCACATGGAAAGTAGAAGTGTTTTTTTCATCAGCGTTGCTGTAGCACAAACAGCTGAAATACAAAAACTAACTGATATTTCCAAATTCAGCTGAAGTTGAAACCTGTTCTCCTTTCAGGTTTGTAGCTTGGTCAAGTTGGCTCCTCATAGATGCAGAGGAGAATCGTGTAGTATCTGTATCAGACTTCATCCTCTTCTTTTTCTGCTCACCAACTTCTGCAAATGTAGCAAGCATCTTTAGTTTTTCATGCTCAACAATAATTTGTCCTGAACCTGACTCGCAAAATCTTTTCTAGTGCTTACCTATCTTTTTTCGTTGTGCAGCTGAAGTTCCAGATTGCAACAAACCATCCAATAGTCCAACCAAAGCAGACGATGCACTGCAAAGTAATACGAAATATTTGATCACATTGCAGGAGACGTTTCTTCCAATAGAAGACATGCACTCAGAGCGGACCAGATAATCCAAGCAAATATCAGTAAAATAGTAATTGAAAGCACCAATATAAAATCATTGAAGTGAAAGCGCTGCTGTTGTATTGTTTGTGATCCCATGATGGCCAGCATGAATAACCATGTTCTACAAAGCCAATGTTCAATGTTTGAAGAAATTGTGCCTAACAAAGAAGCAGGAACTTTCTGCTGACAAGTCGCACAAAAGTTTTTTCTTGAACACACAGGAGGACTGCGATCATTTCATTTATAGGCAAGTTGCACAAAAGTAAAAAAATCAAACAAGCTTATAGTCCACCATTCTATGCTAAATTCTGAAAAAAAAAAAGTAAAATAGGTTAACATGTGCAAGATATACAGCATATTCATGACATCAAAAGTGAAATTTTAGTTTCATCAAAGAATTTTTTTACTAGAAATTCAGTAAATCAACATTTCACATAGTATGTGATGCTCAATTCTCTTTTCTTATTTACAGTCATCTACTTTTTGAACGGAAGCTTCTGTTCAGGCATATAGGATGCTGTACCTATTATTGAGAAGTCAAAACCAATATGATGAACTTCTGAGACTCTTTTTGAAATTGTTAGCGCTTCATTTTGATTGTTATAACTGAACCAAAACTGTTCTCTGAGGTAAACAGTTGGTCACGACTACTATCTATTTTTGTACATGCACTCAATAGATTCAGGCAGGGAAGTGTTTGTACTTTCTACTCCACCCTGTCCCACAAAGACTCCACTTTTGAGACAAAGTTGACAAATTAGTGGTGAGAGAAAGACCACAGTACCCCTGATTATAAGAAAGTAGTATGTGAAGTGGTAGGTAAGGGGTATTGAAGGGATAAAAGTAAACTTCTCGATTTGCGGACCGAGGGTAAATAAGAAGCTAAAAATGGAGTCTTTTGGGGACAGTTGAAGGGCTAGAAATGAAGTCTTATTGGGGCAGAGGGAGTAGCTTTTAAGACTTATCCAGCAGATCAGACTGTAGGGAGTTCCATGATTTTTTGTAGATCTTAACTGAACAAAAGAATAGCATGTGCAACACTTGAACAAATAAAATTTCAACATACTTGCTCCTAAATTTAGCTAAGCCTGGTTAAAAATGCTTCAGCATGTAAGATTTCAATATAACCGATACACTGATTGTGTTCATCAGTATTGTTCTTTGTGTTCATTTATAATGTTATGGAAGTCCACAACAGAATGACTACCACCGGAAGAGGCCAGATGGAATTTCTTTAGAAGAGGAAGCGCTAGATGAACAATGCCACTTGGCAGAGGAGAGGGCTGGAACATGAACAGGAGTACAGGGCTTTTTTTTTTTTTTAGTTAACCTTCCAATAACAGTTAGGCAGCCCTTTATAGATATGGCATACACTCAAACTAACATGCCAACACAACTAACGGATAGACCAACTAACAGATAACCTGACCATTCAGAATAACAAGTCAACTGACTAAGCCTAATGACTTATCTGCCACAGGCCTCATCCCTTGACAATGCAGACTTGCCACATGATTGCTGCCACGACAGGCCTGAAGAAGCCTCTCACATAGTGGCATTTTTCTTGCTCTAGATTGGTAAAAGGAACTAATATGTTTGCTTGTTTCATTTATATCTAAACAACTTAGATTTATAGCATCTTTTCATATAATAGTTTATGAACTTAGAATAAAGTGTTAACTTCTATTGCACAGTTGTAGCTGGGGATAGAGAGAAAACACAGATCTGATTTATTTGTTAGACTAATGATTATTTAAACCCACCATCCAGAAGCTTGAAAAGTAACCGAAATACCACCTCAACTCATTCCTCTTGACCCACAAAGAAATTGACAGAATCAATGTACATTGCTGACACATGCAATTTCAACAAGATTGAACCACAGAAACAGCACCTAATCACAATATTGAAAATTCAAATTGATAAGTCTGCTCGCATTTCGCATGGAAATTGGTGATGACTTCAATAGATAAGCTAGTACAACAGTGGTCAAAGTTGATTTTTTTTTTAATAAATGTTTCCTAAGAAGAACAGCATGCAGCAATGTTTTTGAAAGGAGCACGAAGAAAATTGAAGTGAGAAAACAAATGTGTGTTCACAAAATTTTTGACATGGAGCTTTGACAATAATTGATTTATCCTTTTTAAGAAAACATCTTAAGATAACAAAAAAAGGGAAAATTCTATCAGTTCAAGCTTCATGAAATTACCTGACTTCACTCTCACAAAGTTCTTTGGCACGTGTATATAAAGCACGAAGCCGAATCAACGTAGCATCAACCTGTTTATCAACCATCTCTGGAGCTACAAAACAAACCAAATGTAAAGAATTTTAAGATTTATGTCCATTCTAGCAGACCGTAAACATTACTGCCCACTTAAATAGTACCAAGCACAAAATAAAATCCATAGAACAAAAATACAGGAGGGCAAGGGCTCAGGCAGACAGAAGCAGCAGAAGCCCAGACATATATCAGCTGGAGGCTGATCCAAGGAATAGCAACAACAATCTGGAGGAGCACTGTAATAAGATACTGTAGTGATCCATATTCAGCAGAAAGAAGCCAGCTCCAACACAAGAGAAGAAGCATGGCTAGGATATCTAGCAGAAAGAGGCCATAATTCCAACAGAGCCAACAGAAGCATGCAAGGACACCTGGCAGCAAGATGTCATTTCGAACAGACGCACCACCAACATTCGAGAGGCCTGTACTGAAGTAGGAGAATTCTTCAAGGGTTTTTTCTCTATATGCAATATAGATTTATTTGATGGCTTAACAATTGTTTCATATTCAAGTTCCATAGTTTCATTTATCTGTTTGTGTCTACTAACATAATGAAAACAGTACGATGTTACTAATATGCATGCACGAATCTGACTATCAAAGGACCACCATCATGACAACAATGCCCATGGATCAAAACTTCAGTTATTTATCTTGAGCAGAACACTCACAGTTAAATACCAGAATTTCAACATGATTTCAAAGAGAACGAAAAGGACAATTTCAAGCAGCCTCTAGAGTCTAGAGAATACAAAAAACTTCATGTATGGACCCTCACAAACCTGAAGTGGCCTTTCTGTAAACAGTGATTCAGAAAGAACAAGTAGTTAAATTTTCAGCATAGATCAATAGAAAACGAGGAGAAAAAGGGAACTCTTCATTCTCCTCTAAATCCATTCCGCTTCTCCTCTCCCAGCCAAGAACAAAAATATATGGATGGGCTTAAGCATAGTGATGGGAACAAAGCAGCTTACAGAAGCGGAGTATTTTGTGGATTTCATTGATCTTCTCGGTGATGCTGTCCTGATCTTTCTGCAGCTGATCCAGGTGATTCAACTTCTCAAGCAGGTGCTCCATGTAACCTTGCCCTCTTCTTCCTCCTCCTCGCCCTCCCTCTCCCCCTGCCCTAGACGATGACATCTCCTACTCTCCCTTAGATAAGAATTTGACCAGATTTGCACGAGTGAACAAGGCACAGATTGATGGAGATCCAAGGAAGGGGGTTCGGTTCTCTCAATTTCAGCTTTAAAGGTGTGCAAGAGCAGGTGATTGGAAGTAAATAAATGAGTAGTCCATTTCTAAAAGGACAAATTCAGGCGCAACCAGGTTACGGTTGCAACCTTTATTGCTGGTTCTAGGCGTATGTGCCAGTTTGCCTTCCTAGCTGTCGTTTTGCTTATTGGGCTCCGCAACTTGCTCATTTTCAATTATGTTCAGCAGAGTATCTAGGTGCTATAACCTCATGAGTATTCTTAAGCACATAGTAATATATTGTGTTTCTTATTCATTTGGATTCGACAAAAAAAGTATAGCCTATGATCATCCAGTCTACTCGTATATATATTCCTTACTCTTATATACATTCCTTCTTCAAGAAACAATAATTGACTAGCTTGATTGGCGAAATATTAACGTTTTCATAAAGATGATTACCCAAATTGATCGAAGAAATATCAAGGTTTTCATAATCTTCTACTATTAGTTATATTCTTATCTTCTACTATTAGTTATAATGGTATATCATTAACTATAGAAGCTATAAAGTTCTAATTCGTCTCATTTACCCTACTACCCTTCTGTAGAAAATACCATTTTTGCACACCTCCATGCGCTGCTCTTGTGGCATGTATGGAGGAAAACCTACAGTTTTTGTTCAGTTACCCATAAGAGATTTCGTATCTCTGCTGCTCCTGATAAATATGCATTTATGTTACCTATAAGAAATTTGTGTCTATCCTCCTTAAAAATATGCATTTATGATTGAGTCAAAAAGAAGTTGAGCATGAGCAAGCATCTTGACTTAAGTTAACTCACAAAATGGTCTTCATACGTAAGTAGCCTTCGAGATTGTTTCTTTCATACTCACACTCCCCAGCCAATAAATGTTGTTAAATAATAGAAGAAAACAATATTTACTGATCCAAGTATTTCAGCAATGCATCATATCATTACAAATTTGGCTTTTCAAAACACAAACCTAGAGGTTATATTCATATTTCGATTTTTTTTTATGAACAAAGATAACTGGGTAACTTAACAGAGATGTATACTGACATTTTTTTTTCTACTTTACCTTGCTCCCACTTCCCAACAAAAACACTACTTCTTACGCATCTCCATGGCATATAATTTTACTCTCGAACGTCTGGAAAAGAAAACATCTACTCTTTTTCATAGGAAGATTTGTATGTTTGACACATGCATGAGATTCATACACCCTGAAACTTTAACCAAACAAGCAAGCACAATCAAGAAAAGGACAACAGATCAGAGTTTCAGTTCTGTTTTTTTTTTTAATAGAGGGCCAAAAGGCCTCTTTCCAGCGATCCTAGAGTGGAGACAACAGCAGTCATGCACGCCCCATCCACCCCGCACAATCAATCCTAATGGTTGTGCTCGAGCAAGCTATCAGTCTTGCAGCTAAACACATCCTAGCCAACTACTAGCATATCGCACAAACCAACAAAACAAGTCAAAACCCCCGTAGCACCGCCTCCCAATCCACCTAATTCGAGGTAGCAAGCAGCTAGAAATCCATCTAAACCGTCCAAAACTGAACATCCAGCTACTGGATAAGAAACGCATCCAACATCTAACTGAAGGGGGCCGAAAACCGTTCGTCCGTTATCTACAAATATAATCCAACACCTCGGCAACAATTCGAACAGCACGGAAACGAAAACAGCACCCACGCGCGCGCATGGCGAGCTACTTACAGGAGAGGATCTTCTTGTGCATCTTGTTGATCTCGGTGACCACCTCGTCCTGCTCCTTGCGCAGCTGGTCCAGCTCCTTGGCCTTATCCAGCAGGCTCGCAATGTCCGCTCCTCCGCCACCGCCGCCGCCGCCCGCGCCACCTCCCCCTCCGCCTCCGACCGACGACGACATCCCCGGCGCGGATTTCCCCCACGGTTCGGTAAAGGAATCGGAGGGTGGATCGAATCGATCTACTACTCTCCAGTTGGGGGATGGGGGGACAGCTCGAGGCGAGCCGAGGCTTTTATTTGGTGCCGTGCGCCAGTGCAGAACAGCATAGTCGGATGGGAGAATCAGGAAAGCATTTTCTGCTATAAACACAAGGTTATCGGGATAAGGATACTTAAAATGGTATCTTAGTATCGGGATATGAGATTTTTTAAAAAAAGTTTAATTAATATTTATATTAATTACATATAGCCACTATATATATATAATATAGTAATAATAATATATGTCATGCAAATATAAATATTTATTAATAGAAACCACGTTGGTTTTCATATATTTAATTGATTTTTATATAAACTTGAGAATATTTATTTACATTATTTTCAAACTATCTTATTTTAAATAATATTTTATAGTATCGAAGGGATCGTAGAATCGGGATACTACCTAAAATTTTATAGGATCGTGTAATAATGAATAGTAGGATCGAGATACTATGAAAATTAAAATACTAGGTGGGATCGGTATTGTTTTGGCTTGGTAGGATCGTAATATCGTAAGATACGATATGAATCAGGATACTGACAATATTAATAAACACAAGCATACCATCCGAATATTTACTACTCTCACTAGTCACCATCCAAAAAAAATACTGCATCTCCAATACTAGATTGTTTTTTATTTTACAAATGAAGTATTTATCACTTTTAACGTAGAATTTAACAATTTGCCACGGGACTCACATGTCATAGATATATTAGGGCCCATATGACATATGAGTGGCAAATTATTAAATGTCACAACTTAAAAGTGGTAAATAGTTAAATGTCGTAGGTTTGTTGGGGCTAAAGAAAAATTGGTGCCTAAGTGCTCATGCGTTACAATGGATGTTAAAAAATAAGTGAAATACATGATTCGTTATGTCATTTACGTACATGATCTTATAAATCACATAATTAATTCATAATAATAGCTTAATGTATCTGTTAATGACCAAATTTGGTAGAACCATAGATCGGATTCAAGACCAGAGTCAGGGCGGATTTGAAGGGATTCTGGTTGAGAAAAGCAGAGTGTGTATCGGCTACGGATGGCATCGGCTGCCATATGCATCGGCTGACACTAAATCCGACAAGGACAAGCCGATGCAACCGATCCCGAACAGGTGGTCCTGCAACTGTTGTCGGGATCAATTAAGGCACTTCATAGGCATTGCCACGCAAGGATTAGAGTCCAGAAAAGGAAATTGTATCTATTAATTAGAATATTTTGTTAAATTCCTTATAGATATTTTTGGTAAAATTCCGCCTAAGGGACTTGTTCGTGTTTTAAATTGTAATAGAGATAGAGTCGTGTCCAGCAAGGACATGTTATATACTTCGGGTATAAATATGGCCCGACACCTTATAAACAAGGGACGACAGTTCAATAATACTTCGGCGCATCGCCACCCTTTTCTATTTTCATTGTTTCGACGAGTTTTTGCTTTTGAGTTGGGCTGCATCGAGTTCGATTTCCAACGAAGAGGTAAAGCTTGTTATGGCGGTTTGTGTTATCGGGATTAGTGCTTACATCTCCATGATACTCTAATCCCGCCCATGTGAATCGCTAAGTTATCATATACGCTGTATAATCTAGATTGATCTCGTCATCTAACCTCATTGGCTAGCCTCTATCATCGAAAACGGCCGATAGATTTAGATATCGACATTGAGTTAGATTATACAACGTATCTACCATCTTGAAGGAGTTTTCATCGGTTTGTTTGGATCTTGCGTTTCTCTTCACACTTAATGTTGCATCGGTTAGGTCCGATCTGTTAAGTAATGTCTTGAACTGTAATATCTAACTCATTCTATGAATACTATGGAGATAGTATCGGGGTTTCAGACGATCTTACCTGGTTTAGCAGTCTTGTTCCTTATATGGTTCTTGATCTTCTAAATCTGCCCTTTATATTAAGATCTCACTTGTTTGAAATATATCGAGCTCTCTATCGGTCTGTTAGGGTATCCCAATTCCTGGGTTTATGCATGCTTTATATATTTCATTTGTACTAATATCTTAGTGTGAGGTGGTATCGGAGTACTAGCCAATACGCGTTAGGTTTGCTTTATCGGCTATGCTTTGAGCATATACGATCCCTACTTTGAAGTATTTTTAGACATCAAGTGATTTATGCTGTCTCGGCATGTTGTCCGATCTATCCCAATCACTTGGTCCAAATGTATTTCATTGGACAGATTGTGTATTGTTGACATCTACAGCCGATCGAATATCTAATAATCTCTATGCTTGATCTTCCCTCGCCGATCTAATGCAAGTTACATCGGCTTGGCACCGAACGATATGTCATCAGCAAATCAATCGATCGGCTAACTTTGTTCTTCTTTGTCTCTTGTTGGTTGCAGGATCAAACCAACTGGCACGCTCAAAACCTGAAAGCAGTTTCTTTTGACCTATACTAGAGTTAAGCAGATCTCTGAGGCCAGTACGTGTTTTCCACATGAACAGTATCATAGTATAGGTCAAAATTGTGTTTAACCAGTCTAAGCTTTGCATTTGGCCCTCTTAATACCACTGAGGAAAAAAAAGTGCAAATAGCCCCTCCTTCCTATAGTGCACATTCAAATATTTATTCAGCCCCCTCTCGCACTTCATTTCACCATTTCGACTCCCTAGCACAATTAATAAGGAGGGCAACGATTAGGCGATGCCGACAATCGTCAGCAGGCCGAGGTGCTTTGGGCGGTGATTTGTATAGCATAATAGGTGGCACACGATAGGCAGTGCAACGTGGCACCATCGCTAGCATGAAGGTAGTTGATGAACATCAACTTTGAGGGGGGATAGGGATATGCCTTTTTTCTGTCACAGTGGCTTATGTAGGGGTCAAATACAAAGTTTCGATCAGTATGGACAGCCACATTAGTGCCCAACACTGGTCAAACGTGTTTTGCACCTGATTGTCATCATTAAACCAAGATTATAGACCTAAATGTGCAATTTAGAATATCACGAACCTAAGTGACACCTTGGTCAAAGTTTAAGCATCGATCGTGAATTTCACTCTTAAAATATCAATCTTTGATTTTGGGTATGTTAAACCCTATGATTGCTATATATTGTTTGTATAATTTTCTATAACTCTCAGTGAATTTTTTTAGCGTTGTATTTTAGTCCAATGTCTTAATCCCCTCCAACGCACAAATGATGACATACCAAATCCAATCCCCGCACATATCTTACCTTCTACTTCGTCGAGTCTCTATTATTGATCGGTCACACATCAATCTTTCACAGTAACAATTGTCATTCTACAGTTATCCTATTTCATGATATCCTAGACCATACTCTCTACTAGTTTTGCCAATCCCACTCATCATCCCCATCATTCCCCTAGGGACTATCTCATTCATTGTTAGGTTATACCTCGACCGTCTAGGTCTTCTGTAAACCCACCCCCTCTCAATACCACCCGAAATCTATCTATTGTGCTTGAAAAGGAAATAAGGTGAAAACGGTGGTCTAAATATTTGTATTGAATCAAAGGCTAAATTTGAATGAAATCATTTTCAAAGTGATGTGTATCATGTTTAGCAATTTCCTAAAGAGCACCTATTACTTTGTTTAGGGTTTTTAGTGTTCAATGCTACTAATCATTAAAATAAACCATGCTTGCTATTGTGAAAGGAGTTGTGTTCCTAGTGATTAAGTGTGCCACAACATTCCACCCATGAAGGAACTTAATTGTCTTCAATGAGTAAAGCAAACATTAAGGACCTATTTGCCACACCATATGAGTTGAGAGTGAGGCGGAAATGGAATAGGTTTTTCTTTGCATTCAAAATGATCAAGCAAGTAGTGTGGTTCATGCATGGCTAGAAAGTTTGCGTTGAAATTCAACACGCAACAGTTTGTCTAAAAACTTAGTAGATCAAACAATTTGATGGTGACAAGTCCATCCAACCCTGAGAAACAACCATTTTGACCGAATGTACATCATTAGGTTGTGTGGATTAGATAATTCATGATGCGACCAAGAGTACTATGGATGCAACTATTTCTCGTGTAAAGTATCACGAGGTAAATTCGAATAATAACATGCTCCAACTTGATTGCATTAAGAATATGGCACTATGTAATGACATAAATATATTTATTTATTTATTCAGTGACATATAAGAATGGGGCTGCATGTGGATATTGGACAAGTCATGTGATGCATCAGAAGATAGAGATCAAGTCTTCACAAGTTCAAACGGTTACATATCGTTACTTCTAGTGTGGTAGTTACAATTATTTCGTAACAATCTCAATCTTAGTGATTTGAGATTAAGGGAGAATGTTAGATAATAAGGCATAGATTTGTACTTTTTTGTGTTGTGTTGATAAGATAGTTTCTAACCCTAGAGGTTGTTGTAACCATGAGGATATAAGATATATATCTCCTGACCTTTTGTAATCACCATGCCAAGGGGTTTTTCTAGCTATATAAACACACAGACGAGCTTGGAGGAAGGGCATCGATTCAACTAACATCAATAACAAAATAATTTTAGGAACTAGGAAGAGCTAAGCGGCACGCTTTGCTCCATCCGGACTCATTGATTTGCTCTAGAACAAAGAGAACCTCCACATTATAATAATTTATAGATAACATGTGTTGAATCTCATCCCAAGAGAATCAATTTTCTGGAAGAATGTGGTTTGGGTTTCTCAAAGCACAAAAGTCAACAAGCGCACCACCATTTAGAGACCCAGGATATCAGAGAAGACAATGTATGAACTATTTGTGGCGCAAAACTAACAATGGATGTTGGCATGTTGCATAACTACCAATGGCAGGAAGATAAAGATGTGGGGAGCACAAATGAATAAATGTCACTCATGATTCACTTATACCATTTTTCAGAAGCTTAGGATGGCCATATCTCCATGGTGCTCAAGCATCGCATGGTTCACGTTGTAAGAACCAATCAATTGTAGGAAGGGATGTTCATTGCATAAAGGACTAAGAGTATGGCGGGCTCCTCAATAGATTGAATAGACATGATGTAAACATTCATTCAGTCATTTGTTTAATAGGACTTCAGTAAGAACAAAGAAAAAGAGAAGATTTTCATTCCACTTTTGTAGGTTATGCATTGATAGTAAAACAACATAACTAGTGCTCTCAACCTCTGTTACCTAAACATCACAAACTTGTCATCCAATGGACCATCAGGAGTATACACTTATACTACCTTTGTTTTCTAATAGATGACGTCGTTGACTTGTAGAATAACATTTGAATATTCATCTTATTAAAAAAATAGTGTACATATGTCAAACTGTAATTCATATTTTGAGAGGGAGGCTGAGCACCACCTCGTGCGGAGACAAAAATAATGGGATTGCTGGGAAGCGACACAAGATAATGTGGAAGCAGTGAGCCCATGTGGGGGGGGGTTGTAGGATCGAGATATCGACTAGAGGGGGGGTGAATAGGCGATTTAAAATTAAATGTCACCTGATCAAAACTAACCTAAGTTGCTAAGCTCGGCGAGGGACAAGTCTAACTAAGCAACTAAGTTATGTTATGCAATCCTAGGGTGAAAATGGCTCAAGTATGTCTCTATGAAATGTAAATTTTACAAAGTAAATGATACAAGAGACAAGGAATTTTTCACCGAGGTTTGGAAACTCGCCGGTTTCCTACTCCCCGTTGAGGCGAGCCCAACTCCACCGCTCAACCACGAAGCCACCGCACACATCCTTTGTAAAGGGGTGGGCAAGGCGGGAGCCGGCCCATGGAGAGGACTACCCAAGCCTCGATCACTCGGGGTAGTTCTTCCTTCACTCCAAAGGTGGTGAACTCCAAACCACTCACAACCGGCACCGGGCTTCCTCCATAATCTTCTCGGAGAGGTCACCGAGCAACTCCTCCACAAGCCGTCTAGGAGGCGGCAACCTCCAAGAGTAACAAGCAATGACGCGGCTCGGAGATGATCAAGTGCCACACTAGCTCTACAATGAAGCAATGCACTTGACTCTTGGCTAAATCAACCCTCAACCACTACAATGGATGAACACTAAGCTCAATTGAGTGTGGGAGAGGTGCAAGGGGTGTATGCAATTGAAGTAGGTGCCAATAGAGTCCCCTTGCTACTGGTGTGGGAGTATTTATACTCCTACCCACCAAAACTAGTCATTGGGGGCGAAATCCCCCAACTTAGTGTACTACCGGTCTGACCGGAAGTGTGTGGCCGGTCAGACCATGCTACTCTACAATGGCTAGTTTTCTAGGCGTTGTAGCCCTGACATTGGGCCCCATTTGCCCGGCCGGTCAGACCACAGTGGGATGGCCGGTCAGACCGGCCTCGGCTCGGTCAGACCGCCATCGGCTCGGTTTGACCAACCTCGGCTCTGGTGGCTCTGGATCGGCCACCCCAGAGCACACCACCCAGGGCATATGGCCGGCCGGTCAGACCGGCCAACACCCGCCGGTCAGACCGCTCTAAGGCGACGGTCAGACCGGCCATGACGCTGCGGGCAGACCGGCTACACCGGCCGATCAGACCGGCACTTGGGCAGCGGTCAGACCAGCCCTGGTTACCCAGACCAGTGACAACAGGAGATAGACAATGAAATTGAGCACAAGTCTAAATGCAAACATGACCTAATGTGGCAATATGAATCATCTCTCATTACCCCTCTTAATAGTACGGTGAAGCTAAAATTAAACTAGCAAATTTGATCACCCTACACCTTGATCAATTGGAAATTAAAACACTAGTTTAGCATCTTTTTCTCTTCGCTTTACGCCATCAAATTTTAATCCATCGGTAGTCATCCATGCGCACACATAATGTGAACCTAACTTAAAATATATAGCTCAGTAGAATGGTTAGTCTACAATTAGTGCTTGTCATTAATTACCAAAATTAACAACAGGGGCTGTCAGGGTTACGGATAAGGTATACCCTCTATTGTTGGATGTACGTTGTATACTGATACGGTATACCCGTACGTACACGGATAGTTCCTTTATACGTTAAGGAAATCCATCACGTGATAGGAACAGAATCCACAGATGGAAGGAGTCCTACTCGGACGAGACTGGGTCTTTACCATATCGTGAGGAGTCCGATATCTCCGATTCCTACTTGGAGATCAACTGACCCGCGGTATAAAAGGAACCCCCTGGGCATGACCTAAATCATCGAATCTCACCGCCAACACATCCACCACAGCCTACGAAGCCGGTGCCTACAGGAGCCAAGTCGCCGGGAGATCTAGTCGAACCAACTCGACTACGGTCTCGTCGGTATCATCGAGTTCCGCTATTCCCTTTGTAATCTGTGGTTTCCATCATATAATCCCATATCAACTGGATTAGGGCTATTACCTATCAAGGGGCCTGAACCAGTATAATCCTTGTCTTTTTGTTTGCTTGATGTCGTACTACGTAGATCCTGGTACCAACGGACCCTAATACCCTCTATATCCGCTCTACGGGTATCCACCGTCGACAGGGGCCTATATGCTTAGGGGGGGGAGGAGATGTTGCGGCAGTGCCAACATGCGATGATTGGAGTTTCGAAGTGGTCCATATTGATTGCCTGGAGTTGATCTGCTCAAGCATAGACCACGCATGCCGGAGGTGGATGAAGGACATATATTTTCTTTTAGAAAGAATGATGCTTTGTTTAACACGTCAAGAAAATTGAAAATTCCATATGTATCTGTAAATTTTTACCTAATCCTTGCTATATCCCTTAATTCTCCTCATTCCTTTATATACTTCTGAATTTTAGTTTGGACCTTTCATACTCTTTTTGTTAGTGTTAGTTGATCGTTAAATTCCTATAATAAGTTCATTTTGCCATTTGGTAGAAAAGCATAAAAATTTATAAGTTTTATTATTGAAGGGTAAAAATTTATTTCATGGGGCTATTATATTTAAGAGTTTGTTATGTGAAATTATGATAGAATTTCTTTGTAGATATCACAAAAAGTTAATATTTGTTTATTAGTTATTGAAAATTGTTTATGTATAGTATAAATAGATTTGTCATATACAGAAACATGTTGTACTCTTAAAAAATATTTTACATGTACAATTTTTAATAATTAAATAACCATTAATTTTTATATCATATATAAAAATAAGTTTTTATCGTAAATAATATATCGCATAACTCATAAATATAAAAGTCTCATAGAACAAATTTATATACTTCAATAATATACTCTGTAAATTTATATGTATTTTTCATAAGAAATAAACGATCAACTAATGGAAAATACATGGAAGTGATCCAAATTAAAATTCGGGTTATACAAGGAAATGAGCAAAACTTAGGGATATAGAAGATACATGGAAGTGAACCAAATTAAAATTCGGGTTATACAAGGAAATGAGCAAAACTTAGGGATATAGAAGGGATTGAACATAGTTTAAGAGGTACACATGTACATATGGAGTTTTCTCAAAATCTATATAGTTTTGTACAGTTCGAAGCATAATATAATGAATAGTTTGGATTTCTTCGAATTTAATATAAGCAAAACAAAGAAGAAAAGCACTTATGGCATCCTTAATGTTTAAGGTCAATAAAGCTATAAGATAGGACCCATAATGTTATGTTCTTTTACCTATACATATGATATACTCCCTCTGTCTCAAAATATAAAGCCTTTTGTCTGGATGTGACACATCTAGAACAACGAATCTGCACAGACTGTCCAGATTCGTTGTAGGATGTGTCCCATTCGGGCAAAAGCCCTTGTATTTTGGGATAGAGGGAGTATGTTATAAAATGTGTGATCCACGAAAAAACTCTTGTCACCTAGGATCTAAAGCTAACATATACTAATCTGTCAAAAAAAAAAGAGAAACCTTATGTCTAGGTTCGTAGCTAGGATAGGATTGGGGTTTTTTTTATAGAGGGGGTATGCTGCAAATGCATAACATTTTTTTATTTCTTATTTCTTATGATCTAAGGTTACCCTTAGCAATATTTCCTTTTTAACTACTTTCTCAATAAAGGTGAAACAAATATATTATTTTATTGTTATTTTACGTGTCACATTGAGCGTCAGCGGAACAGGAGCGACGATCAATGAGCAAGTATAATAGGGACTATAAGAAGGCTGAATGCTAAGGTGGATGAGAGAGGAGAGAGAGATGAGAAGTAGGCCGTAAGTTTACAGCCGGTTTAGGCATAGGAACCAAGAAAATTTGTGACAGACATGTGGACCATATATTTATAATGAAGAGTTAACCACTACATGAATAAACTGAGAGATAGACTATATACAATAAACAACTGCTTAGGGTTCACAATTCCGATGAAAACCAGTTGAATTCCGTGAAATTTTGACGTTTCGACACGGCTCGGAATTAAGTTTCGATTGGAATTTTGAAGGTTAAACAGTAGATTTTGTCAAAATTCAGTTGAAAATTATCAAAAATTGATCAAAATTTATCAAAAACTGTGATACCGATGGGGCTTAAAATTTAGTGATCAACTGATAATATAAACCTTGACTGGCTGTATTATTAAAATTTAGTGATCAACTGCTAATTGACCTTGGAAGAACCTACAAAACCCGCCCCCAAAACCTTCCCGTGGCTCGAGCCGAATATTAGTAGGGCTTTCTTCATTTCCGCCTCCATTGATTTCAAACGAAAACCGCCGACTGCCTCCCCTCCCTTCCCCTCTCCGTCGTGCCCCCTTCCGGCCTTCCCCCAATGGCGTCGGGCTCCTCTCGAGCCAACATCGACCAGGTAAACCCTAACGCCGGCGATTCTCTCCTCCCCATCTCTCTCTCCCCTCACCACCACCTCCAAGCATTAACGCACTCCTCGATCCGCCTCTCCGCAGTTCTTCCCGGCCAAGAAGAGGAGGCCCTCGTCGCGCAAGGACGAGCCGCCGTCCGGGAGCCCGAGGGGCGCCAAGGGGTCCCTGGAGGGGTACCTTGTCCGTTCCCCTTCAACCGCGGCGGCGGCCTCGTTGGACTCGCCGAGGGGTGGTGGGGACGCGGCGGGCGCCAGGAGGAGCCTCTCCGCGGCGATGGATGTCGATGTCGGCCATCCCGCCACGGCGGTGGCGACAGATGAGGGGGATTTTGAGCTGAAGAGGTTTGCGATGGAGTTCTTGTCATTGTCCCATTACTGCAGGTATGCGATTCTTGTGCAAGATGAGGGGTTCCTTTTTTCCTTTCTGTTTAAGAACCGGTCTTGTGCGAAGTTCAGGTTGTAATTGTTGTTGCAGTGTTATCCCTTCTGTCATGGGTGGTGCTAGCAATGGCGAAGCGGGCAAGCAGCAGAAGAGGAGTGCGATCCAGTCGTTCTTGGCTCCTTGTAGCAATGCATCTGCCAAGAAGCAGCGCGTTGCTCACTCTGGGGACTTGGAAGCTCTAAAGGTTGTTGTGTGTGTGTATGTTGGGGGGGGGGGGGGGTGCATACAAGATTCATCCGTTTTGGCGATTTTCTATGAAAAGTGATACATAAGTTGCAACTTACATTTGGATGTATTGCAGGATGTAGGTCATAAAACCCCCTTCCGGGAAAAATGTGGCACTCAATACGGTGGCCCAGAGGCTTTGGAGGTTTGGTTGATATAAGAAAATATTGAGTCTAAAATTGTTTTGGAAATTCTCATATTGTTTTTTTTTTCTTTATGGAATTCTGATGGTGTCCTTACCATCAGGAATTAGGTGAGGGGACAAAGCTGAGCAGTGAGGGTTTTGTGGCTTTGCAACGATGTAGCTTTACCCCAAATACTGGACAGAAAAGGGTTGGATTTTCAACAGCACCAGGGGCTGGGGAAACACCGATGTCTGTATCCACGAACTCTCTGATTTCACCCGGGGAGGAATTCTGGAATGCAGCAATTGAATTTGCTGATGGCATTTCTGCTCGGGCTGAGAAGGGTCCTGGAAGGCCTGAGTGTGATGTGGATGACAAGTCATCCTGTGCAGTTGCATTGTGCTCTAAGATTCTTCCCAGATCCGGAAATGGTGGTTCTGACCATGAAAACACAGTAGGAAGCAATGAGACAAAGCAAATGGACAGATCTTCATATAAAGAAGAACCAGTGGCAGCAAATAATCATCATGTAAACAGCTCTCCGTTGCCTGTGAAGCATTTGGACTTTTTTCATGAGGATGAAATTCAAGTTCCAGGCCTGAAAATTGAAGAAAAAGGTGGTGCTGTAGATCTGAGTCAAAAGAGTCAAATGAAGAACAGAGAAAATCTCACGCATTCTGTAGATAACGTGAATAAAAGTACTTTTGACATGCACATAGATTCTTCAGCTACGATTCATGATGAGTGTCTGTCCAAGTTAACAACAGAAGGGAAAAATCATCCAACAAGAGTGGGTGACAGTGGTTCTTGTCTGACTAGAAGAGACCTCAATCAACTGATCTATAGTGAGGATAAGCTGCTTACTGCGTATTCAGATCATGGCAAGCCTAGCAAAGATTGTACAAATAAATTTGCATCCCAAGAAATGGAAGCCAACACTCCTACTAGTTCTGTTCCCCAAAAGGACCACTCAAAGCTGTCAAGTTGGCTTCCCCCTGAGCTCTGTGCTATATACATGAAAAAGGGTATTCCAGAGCTGTATCCTTGGCAGGTTAGTTTTTTCAGTTTTTGCTCATGTCCAATGTCGTGCTTTTGCTAGTCATCTGTCGCCAGCAGAATAAAACATTGCTCTAAAGCACAACTGTGCAAGTTAAAAAATTTGTATTTGCTGCTATTCTCACAAAATATGACTATATGCTACTACCTCCGTCCCAAAATATAAGAAGTTTCGGGGTTGGACATGGGTATTAAGAAAGTAGGTGAAATTAAATGGGGGTTTGTTGTGATTGATTGAGAAGAGGAAGTAGGTGGAGAAATTAAAAGGTGGAAGGTTGTGATTGGTTGAGAAAACAATGTAGGTGCAGGAGTTGTTATATTTTGGGATGGAGGGAATATTTCATTTATGCTAGTAAAGTAATAAATATATTCTACTCACCAGATTGAATTAATAACAAATCCTAAGAACCTGTTCCAACTTGTAAGTACTTGTGTCCTGTCAAACTACTCCATATTTCCTAAACATTCTGTGAATTAAGGGTATGCATGCCAAAAAGCTACTTCTCTTCTTTATTTGAAGGGATCCACGCAGAAAAGTCCAAGCTACTATCTTATCATATGTCTACCACTTCCATTTGTACTTAGCAACGCGTGGACCTGGCTTTCTACAATCTGCTTTCTGAGGCAAACCACTCAATTTCTCTTTAATTTATCTATTTCACTGACCTGATGTTACTTGACTATCTTAGTTTTTGCCAAAGCTAAGTGTTTCCACATTTGTCTTCTATTTTTTCAAAGAAGTATAATTGTTCTCCATCATTTTCTTGTAGAACATATCTGAACATCATAAGCAATTAAAGATGTTGCCTTGATTACAAACTCAGTTTAAAAGTAACCCTCACATACTGTCTGTTTCAAGTGCTTCTCCACAGAGGCATGCTCAATTGTATTCCTTATCCATAGGGTTATGTTCCCATGTCTACTGCAGGTGGAATGTTTACTTGTGGAAGGTGTCTTGGAGAAACGCAATCTTGTTTATTGTGCATCTACAAGGTACTGGGAGATCTTGCACTCTTCCCTGTTGATTGATAATCTCAGTATCCCCATGATTCAGCCCTTTTTGTATAAGTTATTTTTAAACTTGTTTCTTTTGTTTGAAATGCATACTTCTCCAGATACCACCTTCGAGTTTTTATTAGTATATTCATAAAAATAATTCCTATTTCATATATTACAGTGCTGGTAAAAGTTTTGTTGCTGAAATTCTAATGTTGAGACGGATATTGTTCAGTGGAAAGATGGCAATCCTTGTACTTCCCTATGTGTCAATATGTGCTGAAAAGGTTCTGCCATATTTTACTAAGCTTACCTTTTGAATGTTTCAGCATGCTTGTATTGGGTTGTATAACTAGTATTTTTTTTAGGCTGAACATCTTGAGCAACTTCTTGAGCCGCTAGGCAGACATGTTCGAAGCTTCTATGGAAATCAGGGGGGAGGGTCACTTCCTAAGGATACATCAGTTGCTGTATGTACCATAGAGAAGGCCAATTCTTTGGTAAACAAGTTGTTGGAGGAAGGCCGTCTTTCTGAACTTGGCATAATAGTAATAGATGAGCTTCATATGGTAAGTTAAACCAATTTGGTCCTCAAAATTTCTCCATTTTCTTTACTTTCAAGATGTTGCATTGGCTTCTTGCTTATGTTTACTTTTGTGAGTCATGGGCATGGGTCCCATTCATGGCGGATACTCAAACACAGTATCTTCCGCTGACATAACCTATTCCCATGACAAATTTCTAACGTGTATTGGGATTTAACTTTTATTTCACCTAATAGGCATCTGTACACTTAAGAGATACATACATAGTGACATTAAGTGCATGGATGTAATCATATCTAAGTAATTCAGAAATTACATAGCTATTTGACATGATCTTCAACATTTTCAAGCTAACCATTGACAAGACATATAGATAAGAGATTTATACTAGTTGATCTTAGTCTTATAGAATTAGTACTTATTGTTCTGAAAATCAGTTTATCTTAATGACAGTATTTGTTGTTGTTCCATGTAAAATGGTTTTGAAAAATGGGAAATTGGTTTGGTACCAACAAAATATTACCCTTTTAGGTTTGTACACTGATATTTTTGGTTCACTTCCATTACCTTATTTGAAATTTCTGTGCTCTCTTTGCGAGAGGAACACTTGTAAAATGCCTGACTTACTACTGTATGTTCCTATTACCTGTTGCCACTTGGCCAGCTGATGCTGGCGAGTGAAGTGATATAGATTCATGAGAGAGAGATACAGAGGGGAAAATTGCCATGATAAGAGCAAATTGGGCAAATTTGAGAGCGCTGAAGTAGGTAAAGCGATTTAGGTGGGATGGAAAATTCAGGTGGTATAAAACTAAACAAATCAAAATTTGGTGGTATGAAAAATTACCTTTTCATTTGAAAAACATAATTCTGCCATCCAATATATTGTAAATGCGGTACTTCCAGAGGACATGCCAATGTAGTGTACATACAATATAATACATTGTATTTTTGGCCTATACTCAATATTTTCAAGTTTGAAAGTTCTTGAGCAAACTGCGAAATGAATCTCTTCACATTACAATATTTGAAGTACTAACAGTGTGCATGTGCATTACAACCGAAGTTGGTCTTCATTATATTGGAACATATTGGTGTACTTTTTTTTTTTTAAAAGAGAAGATGAGTTTACCATAACATATTGGTCAATGCTTTTGATTAGGGACCAGTCTAGCATTTCTCGTTGCTTTCCCCATTTTTTTTGAAAAATTCAATGCCAAAAATATAACAAAATAAAAGTGTTTCGAGAAGCATTTGTTATGTCAAGAATATTGTGTCTCTGAGTCCCAAGTCCTGACCTATTCCTGTTTACCTTTCCCCTCATGCAATTTGAAGTTCTTTTCTTCTTCCTTTGGAAGTCCTTTGGATGTTGAAGAACATGCAATTTTTGAGTGAATCGCACATTGTGCCACCTATTATTACCAAAGTTTCACTTTGTACCACCACCTGAGCAATGCCTTTACTTCAGACTAGGTTAGATATCATTTCCATTGCACTTTGGACCACCTCTTCCTCTTCACCCCTCTCAGCCTTTCTTCTCTCCAAAACTTTGGCTCATCAACATCACTACAAAGAGAAGAGAGGAGGAGGATATTGACTGACAGGATCAAATTCAGCCACTGGCAGTGCCATGAGTTGACCAATTGACAGCGTGAGGAGGCGGTCTGGTTTGACTAGTTCGGCCAACACAAGCTTGTCCACGGTACCTCTATTAGCAGAGCCCTGCCACTGTGCCCCTTTGTCAATCCCTACTGCTATCCGCTGCACTGTTAGACACAGAGTTCCAGATGGTGGGGAGAAGATACTGAGTAAGATAGAAAGGGAGGGTGGACCGAAGTGCAACAAATGGAAATATTACCTGGACAAAAAAAAATGCTTAAATGATGGTCCAAGTGAAACTTTGGTAATAATAGGTGGCCTAATATTTTATATACATGCATATTTCATTTTTAACATGCAATTTTGTGTTTATAGGTTGGTGACCAACACCGAGGATATCTTTTGGAGCTGATGCTGACAAAGCTTAGGTATGCAGCTGGTGAAGGGAATTCAGAATCATCAAGTGGAGAAATCTCAGGTTCTAGCAGTGGGAAGATGGATGCAACTCATGGATTGCAGATTATTGGTATGAGTGCTACTATGCCCAATGTTGCAGCTGTAGCTGATTGGCTTCAAGTAAGAGAACTTCTGTAATTTTTGTTCATACTATTATCTGTTTTTTTAAGAAATGCTGTTATCTACCATAAACATGCTTGCAGTGTAATATCTTACGGTCATTCACCATCATTTTGACAAGAATAATGTATTATTTAACCAAACTGTCTAATGAAATACAGTAGTAAGTAGTAACAAGTTATGTATGCTGATTTGCTGAACTTCAAAGTTTCACATGTATATTTTTTGTGAGTTGATTTTCCTTTTAATGATAACACCACCATACTTTTGATTATTATGCTGAAATGAAATAGTGTACTGTGCTGAATGTACAAGTAGAAAGGATGCTGGGAACCATTGCATTACAGTGAGGATTCTACTGAATTAGCTTTTTTTTTTTCCGAGAAAACCATAAAATTTAGCCTGTCCTGAGGTTCCTTGTAGTGTCTCCACAAGGTGGTGGAGGGCTGGACAAACACTGTGTGCATCATTTTGACAGTTATGTCTTAAGGGCCTAATTAGAGGCATCTAAACTACAAATGACTGATGCAACCAATCTGATTTTTATGCTGCAGAAGGACGAAGAATTTACTGCTCAAGTATTTCACTGAAAATAATGTGGAACTGTGCGATGCTCTATAGTGTTACTATATTTGACAAACAGTATTAGACATGCTCTATAGGCTTTCAACAGTATTTGACAAACATATTTACAGTGGTACGGGACATTGACATAGGTGTTAGAGTATGACTTGGATTCGAGTATCTGATTCAGCAAATTTGGAGAAAAAGGATTCGAAGATTCGTATAATACATATTTTATAAACATATTATATAATATAAAATATTAACATGTAAAATAGTCGGTCAAACACTTAAAATACTTTTAATACCAGTGTTCCAAGGAGTATTGTGGACATAAGATCCCTTTCCTATGTCTGTTGTGCATGGAAGCTTCGCTTGTATGCTCATTGGCTTATAAGCCACAGGCCACAGCCAGAATTTGAATTTTATTAGAACTTAATTTCAGAATTGATTTTGTAGTTTAATTGTTTTCTATTTTTCAGCCTTGGCTTTTGGACCAATAAGAATAGAGTATAAAAGTCTTACCCTATTTTTTTATTACTTTGTTTATTTTCTAAGCAGTACCTCAAAAGGTGCAGGCTGCATGCTCTCTCTCCAGCCTCCTGCAATCCTGGAAAAGCTGCAACCTTTCCGCCTCTTCTTTGTGCGCACGCACACACTCTCTCTCTTCACTTGCTTTACCTCTTACCGCAACTTCGTTCCTCTATTATCAGCAGCTGCAAGCCTGCAACTCTCCTCTCTTTCCTTTGGACTCTGTCAGATGGGTGCCGTCCCACGTCTAACATGCGTTGACGCACGCGTGTCAACATGGTAAAAGAAAAAAAAAAGGGACTTGCGAGTCCCAGTAACACTGCATATTTATCAATAACAACTGTCATGAATATTGCTATAAATATATCTAAGAGAATTTCACAAAATTGCAATTATTTTGTCAAAACTATCACTTTGTTACAATTTTACATGGGTATTTCACAAAACTGCAACAATAGTGAACGATTTATCACAAAACAACAACTTTACCTCCTATGTGTGTATGGCATTTGGGCCCGACTTACACCATCATAAGTATTGCATGTGCGTATGACAGGTAGGCTCAAACTTTGTGAGAAATAAAGTTGCAGCTTTCTGGTAAAATCATACACTTTGAAATGTCTAGCTGAAATTGCAGTAAATTGATAATTTTGACAAAATAGTTGCAGTTATCTGAAATTTACTCTATTATATGAAATCTGCAAACTGACCTTCAAATACCAGCTTGAGTCTCAATGCATGATAGAAATTGTTTTCTGTTTGTTTAAGTCTTGTTGATTTTTATCCAGTCTATTTGTTCCTTTTATTTTGTGACCGTTTAATTTCTTTTTTTTTGCCGGGCCGGCGAATAGCCGGCCGATGTATATTAAGAGTAAGAGACCGTTTAATTTCTAACACGCACAACCTAATTTGTAAGGATTTATACCTGTGTTTTGGTTGTTGACTTGATTCTGCAGCATTTTTATTATAATCTTCCTTGATTATGTTGCTTTGCTAATTCTTGATCTTTTTGGTCAATATGAAAGGCTGAGTGTGACAAAGTCTTTTGTGTTTCAAGTGGCATTTTACTTTATCGTAAAACTAAAATTGGATGATTCATGTGTATCTGATATTCTGCTGCATAATTAGGCTGCACTTTACCAAACAGAATTTCGACCTGTTCCGCTGGAGGAATTTATTAAAGTCGGTAATCAGGTCTTTGATAAAGATATGAATGTTGTTCGCGTGCTTCCAAAAGTAGCTGATCTTGGCGGTAAGGATCCAGACCATATTGTTGAGTTGTGCAATGAGGTAAATACTTTGCGCTATTTAGTCTCCAGTAACCGATTCCTTACTATCTAAAATATATGTGTACACATCTACCTTGTTTTGCTTCCCAGGTTGTTCAGCAGGGGCATTCTGTTCTTTTGTTTTGCTCCAGCCGGAAAGGCTGTGAATCAACTGCAAGACATGTTGCCAAGTTTTTGAAAGTGGCTTCTGTTGGATCAAGTGACGTTGGCTCAGAATTTCCAGATGCTACATTTGCAGTTGAAGCCTTGAAGAGGAGCCCTTCTGGGTTAGATCCTGTATTAGAAGAGACCCTTCCCTCTGGAGTTGCATACCATCATGCTGGTTTAACGGTATTGTAATTTTACTATAATTTCTCATATCATGCCATGAAGAGTTGGTGGACCTTATTTATGCCATTGTCGTTGCCCCTAAGCATTTAGAATCTGCACTGCGTAGCTGAATGACCTTTTTTTTACTACATTTTAGTAGATGCTGTTTTGAATTTATTACTAATTTCTAAAACCATTCCATTACTTCATGACAACCTTTATCTTTCAGTAGGACTGTAGGAAACATGAATGTATGCATTGTACTTTTCTTGATGTCTATTTTGACAACTATTCTCCTAGCTATTGATGATCGTGAGCTTATAATATGTAGTCATTTCTGTTTCATACAAGTACGGCTTTCTCTTTTGGCAGGTTGAGGAGAGGGAGATTGTGGAAACATGTTACCGTAAAGGTCTTGTCAGAGTTTTGGCTGCCACTTCAACTTTAGCTGCTGGTGTTAACTTGCCTGCCAGACGAGTAATATTTAGGCAACCTAGGATAGGTCGTGACTTCATTGATGGAACTCGGTACAAGCAAATGTCTGGTCGTGCTGGTAGAACTGGCATAGATACAAAGGGAGAGAGTGTAAGATATGAAACTTTCATTTATACTAGATGTTTCCCATGAATTCATCAGCTTAGTTTCAATTTTTTATTTATGTATCTGGTTGTGCTGATGTTTTCTTGTTTATGAATGTCTAATACTTTGATATTTGAAATGTAGATACTTGTATGCAAGCCTGAAGAGGTCAAGAGGATTACAGGTATTCTTAGAAGTAACTGTACTCCCTTGGAGTCTTGCCTCTCAGAAGATAAAAATGGAATGACTCATGCAATCATGGAGGTTGTTGCTGGTGGAATTGTGCAAACTGCAAGTGATATCCATCGATATGTGAGGTGTACGCTGCTTAACTCTACTAAACCTTTTGAGGATGTTGTGAAGTCAGCTCAGGACTCCCTTCGTTGGTTATGCCATAAAAGGTTTCTTGAGTGGAATAATGAAACTAAAATATACTCTACTACTCCACTTGGGCTAGCAGCTTTTGGCAGTTCACTTAATCCTGAGGAATCGTTGGTAGGTTACTTTCTTTAGTTATTTTCAATATTTTTTAAATTTAATCTTACAATTTTCTATTTCTCTGTGTAGGTCGTGCTGGATGATCTTTCAAGGGCAAGAGAAGGCTTTGTTCTGGCATGTGATTTGCATTTGGTTTACCTGGTAACCCCGATAAATGTAGATGTCGAACCTGATTGGGAATTGTACTATGAGAGGTTCATGCAACTTACTTCTCTTGAGCAGGTATTTCTGTTGCATCTTAGAACGTTTTTTCTCCAACAATTAGTCTGAGTACATGTAATATTTTCATATCCTATTTGTGTATATCAATAGTAAAGGACCACAGACTGATTCTTGCTATTGTCTATATTGTCCTTATAGCCTGACAGGCAACCATCCTTTTCAAGTGAAAAATGTATATATTTTTCTCTTTACCCAAGTAAAAAGGTGAACACTAAGATGACATATTGAGATGATCAGATAACTTAAAATGTATCAAGTGATGTTGTCAAGGAGGTGGCATTAAACAGTATGTTGTTTTACTCTTATTGTAAAATGGTAGTGATACTAAATCAAATAATATTCATGTAATGCATCACAAGGCCATGAACTCATGCACCCACTTTACAAGTTCATGGCACTATGCTAGAACTTACTCTATTTTATCTATAGTATTGATGCTTGTTGGTAATGTGCAGTCAGTTGGCAACCGGGTTGGAGTAATAGAACCATTTTTGATGCACATGGCTCATGGGGCTGCAATGCCTGTTCGTGGAAAACCTCAGCGTGCTGGTATCCGCAACAGGTCACCAACACGAGGTTCTGGTGGAAATGCACTTATTAATGAGCAGGCACTTCGAGTTTCTAAGCGCTTTTATGTGGCCTTGATGTTGTCAAGGCTTGCTCAGGTATAATTCAACTCTGCAAGATTGTATCATCAATTTGCTTACTATTCCTGAAACCTAGTAGTATGTTAACGATCTATCTCTGCCATGCCAGCAAAGTGCATTACTCTAATTGGTTTTGGATCTTTTTTTATTTGTAAATATAGTATGATTGAATATTTAATGAAGCTATTTAATGTATTGTATCTTTCAGGAAATTCCTGTCACAGATGTTTGTGAGGCATTCAAAGTTGCAAGAGGTATGATTCAAGCTTTACAGGAAAATGCTGGCAGGTTTGCTTCAATGGTTTCTGTGTTTTGTCAGAGACTTGGTTGGCATGATTTAGAAGGCCTTGTTGCTAAGTTCCAAAACCGAGTCTGTTTTGGAGTCAGAGCAGAGATTGCGGAACTTACATCAATTCCATTTGTCAAGGTTTGCTTATGTCACTTTGCATGCATGATAAATCCTAAGTTTTGTCCCATCATATCTTCCTACTTATTTTTATATGTTAATATGTTATGGGATGCAGGGTTCACGTGCAAGGGCTCTTTATAAGTCTGGTTTGCGTACTCCTGTTGCCATTGCTGAAGCATCTATTCCTGAAATTGCAAAAGCTCTTTTTGAATCTTCTACTTGGTCTGGCCAAGGTCTAATACTCTAGCTATGTTTAAACTTTCTATTAAAATATTTGTGTATGTTGTGTTAGTCTGAGGTTCTGAGACTACAGTAGTGCTGCAATGATGGTGGTGGTGGTGGTGGTAGCAGTAGCTTTACTATTAGAGAAATGGTGAAAGTAATAGCTCAAAAGCCATCAAACTCGTAAATTAGTACTCTTAACAACCTGAGAACAAGACTTCTCTTCCTTTGGAGATGGCTGTAATGTGTAGTCCACATTGGCATTCCTTTCTATTTTCTATTTTTGTTTTCCTCTCTTTTTGTTCAACATTTTGGATCAGTTTAGTATCAAGGGGTCAGATTCATCCTATTGGCTTATTTCTTGTGATTTTCCTGCCTTGTGTAATAATATCTGTTCAATGGACTAGGTGATTCTGGTTTACGCCGAATGCAATTGGGTATTGCCAAGAAGATAAAAAATGGAGCTCGAAAAATTGTTCTTGAGGAGGCAGAAGCAGCTAGAGTAGCAGCATTCTCAGCTTTCAAGTCACTTGGTGTACAAGTTCCTCAGTTTACTACACCTCTACTCCCAACTATCGATGAACCCCCAACTCGAGATAGCATGGTTTCTGTTGGCAGAGGTCAAGCTAGTGATGATACAAATAACTGCTTCAGTTATGGTTCTCAAAGGGCTTCTACAGAGAGAACTTTAGGGAACGATATGCACCCTGGTTCTTCCATACAAATAACAGAGAGTGCAAGAATAGTGAATAATGCCAACATCGTTGTCCAAGTAGCATCACCTTTCTCCATAGAAACTAAATTAAGCAGCAGAAATGTGGCTGACAAAGGCCCTGTTAATGCATATAATTTCCCAGGAGGGTTTGACAGTTTTCTTGATCAATGGTCTACTGTTAGTGAGTTTTCTTTTGATCTTCATTATGTCAAGAAGTCAATTAAATCATCTTCAACCTATTTCGATATTCTTGGTTTGGCTGTCTGTTGGGAAAATTCACCTGTTTACTACTGCAACTTTCCGAAAGACCTAATGATGGCTGGTAGCAATGACTCCATTGAAATGTGGGACGAACTAACGAGAAGATGGAACAGAGTAATCGAAATTATGCGACAAAACAGTGTCAAAAAAATGACCTGGAATTTAAAGTTCCAGATTCAAGCATTGAAGTATCCCTGTGTTTCTTGTCAACGGCTCTCTAGACTTCATCTTGACTACAAAATGTTGAAGAATGTTGAAGTCCTCGACAACTTGTATGTTTTCCTACAACCAGTTTCTGTCCACAGTGGATTGGACATATGCTTGGTGGCATGGGTTCTCTGGCCTGATGAGGAAAGTAAAACAGTGCCAAATCTTGAGAAGGTATAATATCTTATGCTGTGATATAGAACTCATGCTTGGTTTCCTCTTTAAATGTTTTCATGGCAATCTCTTTCAACCTTAACATTTCCCAATGATTTGTTAATTTTTTGACAGAAAAGATTTCTTAATTTTGATGCTGAGATATTTCAGAAAATGTACTTTATTTGTAATTTTTACCTGATATTAATTAATAGTTAGTGAAGAGACGACTACACAATGAAGCTGCAGCAGCTGCAAATCGAGATGGCAGATGGAGAAATCAGATGCACAAAGCAGCTCATAATGGTTGCTGTCGGCGTGCTGCACAGACACGGGCATTGTGTTCTGTTTTGAGGAAATTACTTGTTTCTCAAAATCTCAATGATTTACTCGAAACAATTGAGGGCCCATTGGTACGTTCTACCCTTGCCAAAATGCAATATTGTCATCAAATGCTTTGACATTCACATTATATTTGTTGGGCAGGTAAATGTTCTTGCTGATATGGAACTTTGGGGAATTGGTGCTGACATGGATGCATGTCTCCGTGCGAGGCATATCATAATAAGAAAGCTGAAAGAACTAGAGAAAGAAGCTTATAAATTAGCTGGCAAGAGCTTCTCACTAAATGCAACTGCTGACATCGCTGACGTTCTTTATACACACTTAAAACTGCCAGTTCCAAAAGGTTGTGGGAAAGGAAAATTGCATCCTAGCACTGACAAGCAGTCCTTGGACCATCTAAGGTATAAATTTGATCTATTTGTTGTGTGTGTCATTTCTAGGCATTGCAAATTTATTATATTAGCAAGTGTTTTTTTTTCCTTTCAATGTGCCAGTCACAAACTTTTCATGATTCAAGCATTTTTGAAATTTAAAATGTATTTCCTTGTATATCTAGTCTCAACAATGGTTCACTGACATAATGTCTTCATGTTGTATTATGTCTGGATTGAAGTATCCTTGTGTCCATTCTAGTTTCTGCATGTTGAAGATGTCATTACGGTGTTGTCTTGATCTAAGCTGGAATTATTGGGGTGCCATCACATTTTATTATTATGTCTGATTACAGTATGTTTCAAGAGTTGCATGTCATGTTTGGCTTGGTGCTTCAAAGAATTATAGTAAAGTGAGGGTCAGGGAAGGAAGAAAATAATTCTTACGCCTTTCAGAATGTCATGGCAATGCTGGCTCAGAATTTGTTGAACATGCCAATGAGTTGGCCAGGGAAACTTTATTACAAGTAGTGCTGTAATCTGTATATTCTTTTGATGCTTCACTCAACCCTCACGTAATTTTTTGCAAGTTTCCCAAGGAAAGTGTTTGCACTGGTAACAATAAGATTTCAGTAAATGTGGAGAATTGCTCTTGTTGAACTTCTAACTTAGATCATCACTCCGTCTAATAGTCTTTTGCTCTGTTTATTCAGGGATTGACATGTATTTAGAGATGCTTTGGTTTTGTTCATTTTTAATACAGTGTCATATTATTATGCTCTTTTTATTCAGGGATCAACATCCAATTATATCTGTAATTAAGGAACATAGAACATTGGCAAAACTGTTAAATGGCACCTTGGGGTCCATTTGCTCACGGGCTCAGTTGTGCAGCAAATCACAAAGATACATCATACAAGGAAATTGGCTCCAGACATCAACTGCCACTGGCCGTCTATCAATGGAAGAACCAAATCTGCAGGTTATGTTACATTATTGCTAGTGTTTTGTATAATATGATTATATTCATAGGTCATAGCAATGATTGACTGCATTTTTTCCTTAGAAAAAAAACTGACTGAACTATAATTTGTAGTGTGTTGAGCACTTGGTGGATTTCACAACATTGAAGAATGATCATGATTCCACAAGCATGTCAATGGTTGATCATCATGAAATCAATCCTCGTGATTTTTTCATTCCCACCCAAGTATTGCTCACTCAACAATTGTTTCATGCTGTATATATTTTCCTATCGCAAGTAAGGTAATTTTGTGGTCTCCTTTTTGCTAGGAGAATTGGTTGCTGGTAACAGCTGATTACTCACAGATCGAGCTGCGTTTAATGGCTCATTTTTCTAAAGATACTGCATTGATTGAACTTCTAAGTAAACCAGATGGTGATGTATTTACTATGATTGCTTCAAGATGGACTGGTAAAGCGGAGTCCTTGATCTGTTCAAAGGAAAGAGAGACCACCAAAAGATTTATTTATGGCATCCTCTATGGAATGGGTGCCAACTCTCTAGCAGAACAACTTGAATGCAGCCCAGAAGATGCTGCACAGAAAATCCAAAGTTTTAAGAGGTTCTTTCCTGGTGTCTCTTCATGGCTACACGAAGCTGTGGCATCATGTCGTCATAAAGGGTTAGTTTGCTTTGTCATAGCCATTTCTGCCTTTTATGCTCTGATATGTTTTCCCTTTGATTTTTTTATCTTTTCTTTTGAGGTGAAACATTAGGGGTAGACCCTACTCGAAGTATAGAGTAAATTGCATTGGTGGTACATGAACATTTTTTAAGCGAGTACACAAACTTATAAAACACTTATTTTGATGCGCAAACTTGTTTTGTGCGTGCGAACCTAGGCTAAAAGGCATATCTGGCTGCTATTGGTAAGTTGGGTGCTAATTAGGATGCCTCGTAGGCACACACATGAGAACATAGTACTGAGTAAACGTAGTACTCCCTCCGGTTCCATAATTCTTGATGTTTTGGACAATGACATGGTTTTCAAAATATATCTTTGACTTTGTTTTTCTATTGTAATATATTCAATAAATAAATGCATGTTTACTTTTCTTATAGTACTTTGAAAGATAAATCTATATATGTTGTTCTATTTCCTTTAAGCTTTATATTTTTAAAGTTATTGATGATCAAAGTTATAAAAGTTTGACCTCTACCTTGGCCAAAACGTCAAGAATTATGGAACGGAGGGAGTACTATATTATAACGATGATACTACAAAGAAAACATATAAAATATAGACGAATGATGCAGTGGATAGAAACAAAGAAAGAACAAACTAGAATCAAAATATAGAGGTGATTTGCACATGTAATAAGTCTCTTGTCCTCAGGTATGCACGTAACATCGTACTTAGCGTCCAACTCGGTAAATTTAGTCACAATGTGTTGTTTTAGCATCAGTTTGCGTGCATTGGACAAGTTCATGTACCAAAAGAACTGTTTTACAAGTTTGTGTACTTGATCGTACCCATCTAACAAGTTTATGTACCGCCAATGCAATTAACTTGGAAATATATATAGCAGTTTTAGGCACCATGTTGCCAAGGCAGAAAGCACCCACATAGATACACCCGTTGCAGTACTGTGAGGATTGTTGCATTCGACGTGGGCATCGTCTTATACCCACAAGTGTTTTTGAGATAGAAATTGTGAAGAAAAAAATGAGTATATTGTATATTGGGGCACCTATCATTGCCAAAGTTTCACCTATTGATCGAATGAGCAATGTTTTCACTGAGTGAGGGCCAGGTAGTATTTCCTTTTTGTTGCACTTTGAAGTTTGAACCAATCCCTCCCTCCATCGCTCTCACTCGTCTTCCTTAACTTTGGATGGCCATCTCCTTGATCAATGGCAGCATGACATGAGGTGAGGATGGGAGTCGGCAGGCTCCAGTTTGGCAACTTACAGCGGTGTGAGGTGATAGGGCTGCAGCATAAGTAATTTACCTGCTGCTACCTTGGGCGTGGCACACCAGATTGGAATGACATGTGTCCAGCTGGCACATCTTTGTGAGCTCTGCCACTGCTCCCCTCATTGAGCGTTTGCCACTAGTAGCCAACTAGCCATTGATCGAGGAGGCTGGAAAAAAAAAAGAATTCAACTTGAGTTAAATTTGTTTGAACTAGTTTCAATTAGATCAATATGTTGACCCGTGTCAATCATTTTTGTTATTTTGACCAGTGTGGTAGCTGGCAATATAGCATGCATGATTGTTAATGAAATCTAAGTTTTCCAAGTTAAAAAACATATTGATGAAGCACATTTTCTGGACTGTTCACAATGCCTTGTGCACTACTCCCTCATCCCAAAATAAGTTAACCTAGTACAGGAAAATAAGGTAACCTAGTACAGGTGCCTGTCCAGATTCGTAGTACTATGATATATCACATCCTGTACTGGTTTACTTATTTTGGGACGGAGGACGGAGGGAGTACTAGAAGCTGAGGACAACCTTAAACAAGAAACAGCTAACACACGGGTGAATAGGTGCATCTAATTCAGTTAATCTAAGACCAGTGCAAGAGGTGTATTCACAGTGCTATGAAAAGAAGAATGGGGGTACAACACGCATGAGGTTGCGTAACCTACAGGGAAAGGCACATCTGTGCTTTCTGCCAATGTGTAGAAGTACATATCTTATAAAGCATGAATCCTCTGCTTCATTTTATAACCACCCACATGTCAATACTTAAAGGTAGTGCCTAAGCTATTATCACTTATCAGGTATGTGGAGACCTTAATGGGAAGGAGACGTTTTCTTTCAAAAATAACAGCCGGAAATAGCAAGGAGAAAGCAAAGGCACAGAGACAAGCAGTTAATTCTATTTGCCAGGTAATAGAGCAACCATCTTTCTTAAGCTGCTAGGTTCTTAATTCACTGCAATACAGTATTTAAGTGCAAGTCTTTCCAGGGTTCTGCAGCTGATATTATCAAAGTGGCTATGATTAAAGTTCATTCTGCAATTACAAATGGGAGCACGGTGGGAGCAACAGTTGATTCAATTGATGTGGCTATGCAGAACTTTTCTGAAATCAGAGGCCGTTGTCACCTTATTCTGCAGGTATTTGATGAAGCTATCATGAAATATCCCATTTTTCCTGGTCATACATACATATATGTATGTATCCCATTTTCCATCGTTGTTCTGTTAGTTTGCTTGTTTAGATGATGGTAATCCTCTTCTGTGTTTTAGGTGCATGATGAACTGGTGCTTGAAGTTGATCCATGTATGGTAGCGGAGGCTGTAAGGTTACTACAGACTGTCATGGAGAACTCTGCTTCACTCTTAGGTATCACTTTCTAATCTGAAGTTCTGAATCGGATACTGCTAGTTTTCATTTTCAAGCTGAAAATTGAATCGCTATTTGTTTCTTTCACCAGTGCCTTTACGCACTAAAATAAAGGTAGGACAAACTTGGGGTTCTTTAGAACCGTTCCATCTAGAACCTTGACGCGATGGTGAATGCTTCTTTGGAGCAAGGTCCCAAGAAATCATCTGTTTGTTAATGGAAAGGCTAAGGTGCCATTGCAGTCAGAAAGGCTGGGTCAGGTTATTCTTGCAAACTTCTCTGAAGCCATGTTTGATCTGCCAAGTCTGACACCACTTTGGATTCGAACTTACTGTAGCACGATTGATGTTGCCAGGTTACATAAATTGATAAATGCATTCCTTATTTCATACCTTCTAAATTCTGGTTTTGGAAATAGTTTTTGTTCTATCAAATCTGAAACTTGAATCAGGTGATTTCTCTTTCTGCAGGGCCTTCGGTCTCCTTTCTTTTATTACGTGCCACCTTGAATCTATATAAAACAGGTTACATTGCTTCAGTTACGGAGTCCATTGTTGAGAATGAGGATTGAAGGACAGGCCAACGGTTCCGACTGAAGCTGCAGTACCGCCTATACAGGATTCATCACATTATTCATAGAGCAGACAAGGGGAACATCTCAAGGGGACATCCACTTCTACAGTATATATATATTTTTTTTGCGAGGACTTCTACAGTATATATGTTGTACTGTAAATGGACAGACTGTAATAGCTTGTTCATTCTTTTTTGCCTGATGTCTTGATTATGTATATATTGATTATAGAGGTGTTGCTCGAGTTGAAGACTTGTGAAACTGTCATGTTGCACAGTACTTATCATTTATGAGAGTAACATCGTTCGTTGCTCTTTTTGTGCATTGTATTGTACAGTATTGGGTTACATTGCACTCGAGCAAACTTTTGCGAGTCGTGTTGCTTGCTTATTTTCAATCTATAGCTGCATCTTTCTTGGTCGCCCTAGCTATATGTATGGTCGTTGTTGAGAAATGAGGAATGACTGCCAAAGCAACAAATTGACCTTATTTACGTTGAAGGGCAGGGTGCTGCTAGCGCTTTGGCTATCAAGAATGCTAGTATTCTTTTTTTTCCTATCCTTTACAAAGTCAAGTGTCACAAACGAATCGCTGTGTTCCGTTCTTGATTGTATGTCATCCTTTGCATTCCATTGGATGTAACATCGTCTTTTCTTTCTTGCCAAATTAGATATTGTCTGCGGGAATGTAATAAGTTAGCTGATGCTATAGTATCCATTGGATGTAACAGTCCCCCAAACACCGATCTTTTGGGACGGTGCACCTCCGGGCGTTGAGGGTTTGGTTGCCGGCGATTTTGTCGCTTTCATGGGTTAATGGAAACATGAAGTTTTCCTTAAAAAAAAAAACTTTGCATTCCTTTGTCGCGCAGAGGCGGTTCGTCCGTCAGCTTTTCCGATGAAGCAATTGCCATATTGCCATAATTGCTACTGATACTCCATCCCAATTGTTCTTGGAAACTATATCATCTCATGTTGTTTTCTTAAAATAAATTATCATAACCATCTCTCTTTTCTTCCATTTCATCTCTCTATCCCCTCATATATTGAACTGGTTTCTTACATGATAAATGATTTCTTCATCTTTTTGTTTTCTCTGCTCAACTCTTTTGCAACATCATTTTTTTTCTTCTTACTTATCAACATATTAATGCTATAAAAATTAGTTGAAGTGAAGGGTTTCGGATTGCACTAACCATCATATATTGCCCATTTGCATTGATGTTGATCGGTGAAATCGTACACTCCATTCCACGCACACGACGCATCGTACATTGCACAAATTCGGGACTAGATACGCTACAACCCACTAACTTAGGTAGGGATGTGATCCCTTCTAGTACGATGAATCTGGATATCCATATATCAAAATTCATTATAATAAGGGACCACCTATACATTTGTCGACAAATTTTCTCCTAAAAATTTGACAGATGTAATTATAGTATAATCGTAGTGTAATTACACTGTAACTTATATGTAATTACACTGTAACTTGCAGGTAACTACAGTGTAACTTGTATATAAGTTTCACGTAATTTTGAATCGTTAAATCTATTACAAGATTTGTTTTATTGAGGAAGAAAAAAAAATCACGACACACACATATGTGTAAGGATTTATTCTCACAATCTCCATTTTATCGAAATAACATATTACACAGATATTTTTGAAAGTTACATACAAGTTACACTATAGTTACAGTGTAATTACATGCAAGTTACAGTGTAATTACACTATGATTGTACTGTAATTACATCTGTCAAATTTTTGGGAGAAAAATTGTTGACAAATATATAGCAAAATCGTTATAATAAAAGGGGTTACATCCTTTTTAGTTGAGTTTTTTTTTTAAATGGAGAGAGTAGCAACGAGCAAAGCATAATTTTCGTACTGTACCATTTTGCTTGGGAACGAACAAAACTAGAGAGGCTGAGCAACCAACAAGACACGGCCAGGGTGGATCGCCCATCCCGTCCCTGTGGTCCAGAGGATAAGCCGCACCACCACGCGCCGACACGTGGCTGCCGACCTGATGGGCCTGCCAGCTTGGCCGGCCGCATCATCCCCGGCGAAGCGGCAGCCACTCCTCCCCAATCCTCTCGGCAGCCAACCGTGGCCATGGATGAAATGACATGATACGATTGCTGTTTATATAAGCTGCTGGTGAACCAGCGTACAGGGCCTCAACAGCACTGCTACTGGACATACTCTACTACTACTAGCCAGTAAGCTAGCTAACTAACTACGTGGCTATGGCCCCCACCGTGATGGCCTCCTCGGCCACCTCCGTGGCTCCATTCCAAGGGCTCAAGTCCACCGCCGGGCTCCCCGTCAGCCGCCGCTCCACCAACTCGGGCTTCGGCAACGTCAGCAATGGCGGAAGGATCAAGTGCATGCAGGTATATATGATATATACCTCCTCAGGCTTCTCCTTTAAAGTCAAGGATCAAATTAACTCATGTTACGAAATTCAAATTAACCTGATTTAAATTTTTACATTATTTATTCAGGTGTGGCCAATTGAGGGCATCAAGAAGTTCGAGACCCTATCGTACCTGCCACCACTCACCGTGGAGGATCTTTTGAAGCAGATCGAGTACCTGCTTCGATCCAAGTGGGTGCCTTGCCTCGAGTTCAGCAAGGTTGGATTCGTCTACCGTGAGAACCACAGGTCTCCCGGGTACTACGATGGCAGGTATTGGACCATGTGGAAGCTGCCCATGTTCGGCTGCACCGATGCCACCCAGGTGCTCAAGGAGCTCGAGGAGGCCAAGAAGGCCTACCCCGATGCCTTTGTCCGTATCATCGGCTTCGACAACGTCAGGCAGGTGCAGTTGATTAGCTTCATCGCCTACAAGCCCCCAGGTTGCGAGGAGTCTGGTGGCAACTAAGCTAAGATCAAGCATCGCGCTGGTGGATTGCTGCCTATAATAATAGTATGCAGCTTTGTTTTGGGCTATGTTGATGATATATCAATATATAATATGCTATATATTTTTATTTTACAGTTTGGTTATGTACCATCTCAATGGCCTCTGCTCTTAACACATATGTAATAATCTCTTCCCTCCCTCTCCGGCCGGTTTTATTGTAAGAGTACTACAATTATCGTTGGGTGAGGATATGTGAAAACAAAGCTCCGGCTATATACACACAAGATATGTATCTAGAGCATATCTGATAAATTCGTCGACAATAAAAAAAATGGATGGTATCACGTAATTATGTTTGTTTTTAAGTATTTGTTTGCAATGTTTGTTTCTATGTTTAACCGAATGTATTGTGAATATAGGATCTGACATAATTATTTGTGTAAGTTAATTAGTAAACGAATGTATTTCTTTTTGAGAGAACAATGATTTGATCTTTTGTGCAACGGCTGATAAGTCCTTAAAAAAATGAATAAATCAAACAACAATAATTTATCTCAGCACAGTACATCTCAGTTCACCTGACTGAGCACGTTAGCAACGAGCACAGCATATTTTTCATATTTTGCTTGGGAAAACAAACAAAAGTTAGCAATCAACGACACACGGCCAGGTTGGATGGATCGCCCGTCTCGTCCCCGTGGTCCAGAGGATAAGGCTGATAGCCATGCCAGCCTGCCCGCCCGCATCTTCACCGGCGAGCCGCAGCCACTCCTCCCCAATCCTGTCGGTAACCATCCAAAGCGGGAAATTTAACTATTTGCCACTCTTATGACATGGTAATTAACGATTTGCCACGTTCTGTCAATAACACGTGGGCCCTCATGTGTCTATGACATGTAGGTCTAGTGACAAATCGTTAAGCACTATTCGTAAGAGTGGCAAATAGTTAAAAGCTCCATCCAAAGCAACGGGCATGGCTTACATTTCTAATCATTTGAGAGGGTGTTTCCTTGTGTATCTTTTTCTAAATTCAATACAAATAGTTACTTCTTTAAAATATTAAAAATATAGAGTATAGTGATATACAACACTCTAAAAAAAACATCAAGTTTAAATACAACGTACACATTGAGAATCAAAAGAAACGGAAGTCGAATGTAAATAGTACTCTTTTTTATATATCAACTATGAATTGAATTTGGATATAAATATAAATGTTATTAAATTGTTTGAGAATTTTTCTATAACTATTTGAATGATTTTTAGAAAAAAAATTCCTCAAGCAATGCTTGAGTTTAAGATGGGGGTATTCACTTAACCTTTACAAACCTCATGTCCCTAGCTAGTAGTGTTTAGTGGGAAAAAGTTAGGGTATTTAAGATAGTTGGTTAATAGATTAGAAGTGGTGTGAGATAGGAGTAAAAAGAAGTGGATTTATCTCTATTATTATAAAAATTGAAGATGTTTTTGTCGATACGTTGGTACGTTATCCGTGCATGAGTCGATTTTTAATTTTGTTCGCTTTTGGAAATACATATCCGCATTTGAGTCACTTCGCTCACTTTTAGAAATACATAAGGACTCGTATAAGATATCTATTTAAAAAAACCCGCATGCTAACTTGAGATGATTAGACTCCTAATGTAGCTCATGATTATATATATATATATATATATATATATGTGTGTGTGTGTGTGTCCAAGCCAATTATCACAGTGAATTTCATCTTAACTAAACCATATAACAACAATAAGATTAAAATAACCTTCGCCTGTTGTGAGGCACGGACATTTTTTTCATGTTGAGAAAAACGATCGAGAGTGACGTATTAGATGTAGTTAAATATATACATATGAGATATATCTATATATATTAACTTTATTTCATATTTTTTTTGGGTTTTCCGGAAATGCTCAGGATCGATCCCATTGGGTCTGCCCCTGCCCTTTGAGATCGAAACAGTTCCATAGTTGGCGTTATATAAGGTGCTGGAGCCTCAAATTGAGACATGCAATCATCCTCTCTTTATTTCTACTGCTAAGCACATAACTACTCTAGTACTAATAAGCTAGCTAACTAAGGGTCTGTTAAGATTGATGCCAAGAGACATGCAATCATCCTCTCTTTATTTCTACTGCTAAGCACATAACTACTCTAGTACTAATAAGCTAGCTAACTAAGGGCCTGTTCAGATTGATGCCAAAATAAGCCTTACCAAAATTTATCAATGCCAAAATTTTGATAAATTGACAATATTACCAAAATTTTAGTAAGATTGGCTTAATAATGTTGCCAAAATTATATAAACATTACTAATATTTAGTAACAAACTAAACGCAGTCACATAATTATTAATTTTACCAAATAATGATATGGTTGAAAATGTCATCAATCTAAAAGGCCCTAGCTACGTAACTATGGCTCCCATTGTCATAGCCTCCTTGGCCACCTCCGTGGCTCCATTCCAGGGGCTCAAGTCCACCGCCGGCCTCCCAGTGAGCCGCCGCTCCACCAACTCAGGCTTCGGCGACATCACCAACGGCGGAAGGATCAAGTGCATGCAGGTACCATACGTCCTCAGCTTCTTCTTCAAAGTGATCGTGTAGGATCGAATACAGAGAAGCCTATTAAAGGTAGTGTAAATCTCTATCTTTGTTTAGCTTTTCGGTGACATGCAAAACGTGATAAACTATTAGCATATAAATAATTAAGTATTAATTATTATAAACTTAAAATAAAGTTTATTTGATTCTTTCAAGAAACTACTATATAAAAATTATTTTTGCAAAAAAAAAACAAACCATTTAACCATTTGAAAAACATACTAACAGAAAATAAAAAAAAGTTGAAGTTTGGAGTTGAAAAAAAAAGAAACGGCTAAAAGGGATGAATGTTAGATAAAATCAAAGAAAGTCAGACAGTCAAAAGTTTGAAAAACAAAAACTAACCCAACCTAAAAATCCTAAAGAACATTTCTGGCGGTCTGAGCGGACCCATCGTACTAAAAACATAGTTATGTAAAAACATGTTTTCTCTAAAACTAGCTATTGGATTAAAGCCAAAACTTGTTATAATAAAGTAGACAAACCATAGAACAACTCCACTGGGTGAATTTGCAAACCAATCAATGTTTAAGAGAAAACATCCTCAAAATGTCTGTTGCCTCAAATTTTACCAAATCTAAACATAGCCTAAAATTTAAGAAAATTTGAAACCTTCCATATCTGATCTATGAAGTATTAGAAATGTTATTAACTTAAACAAAATTGCCGAAAAATGAAGAATCACAAATTAATGACAAGACGAAACAAAATGTAAAACCTACACAACCGAAAAAGATCATCGACGCCTTGATGATTGAATATGATCTTTATTGTCAAGCATTGTCCATAAGGTGTAGCCACAACACCTCTCACAAAATCTCTCAAAACCCTAACACAATGAGCCCTAATATCTCGAATGTCTCAATTGTCTTTACCCTCAAGGCATATCCTCACTCTCTATTTGTACCCATGGATGTGGTTGTTCATAGCCACGAGCTCAACTAAAAATAGGAATCATAATAACATAGGAAACCCCTCAAATTAAGGTTACACTCATCCTTTTACAAATACGGACTCAATTACAACTCAAACTTGGACACCTTCCAAACTTGACCCCTTTCCATACACATACATATCCTCATGTATCCTGCATGATCTCCTTTCGCTTGAGCATCCTACATAATCTCCTAGATTGTCTAGACCTCAACGTTTCCCAAGTTTACTCCCGATTCATCAGTGGGAATACTCCCGTTGTTTTAAGCAACACCTACATATAGACAATCAAGAAACTATATCCAAGTACAAGTTCTTTCCAACTTAACTCACATTAACATAAATGTAGTTCATAATACACACATGAAACATCTAGAAGTCATAAACATTAAGCACCAAATGCAAAACTCAATTTTACCCCGAAACCGACTCCAACCAAGAATACCCTGGACCACCTTTAGCATTCCTCCAGTCGGTCCACCATGTACTAGCTTGACCATCAAGGTCGGTCCTCCATGTATAGGTCGGAACATCTAGCCTTGTCCAGAACGCTTCGCTAATTTAAACACTTCACCAAAGTCAATTCAAACACTTGTACAACTAGTTGTTCATCCTAAAACCTTAAATCAGCACAATGATTACACGGATCAATCAAACTAACTGATGTTCAAAAGTTCAGAGTGACCTGATTCAATTGTTTCCATTTGTTTAGGTGTGGCCGGTTGATGGCAAGAAGAAGTTCGAGACATTGTCGTACCTACCGTTGCTCACCGCGGAAGACCTCCTAAAGCAAATCGAGCACCTGCTCTAGTCTGAGTGGGTGCCTTGCCTCGAGTTTAGTGATGTAGGGTTCATCTATTGTGGGAACCATAGGTCTCCTGGGTACTATGATGGCAGGTACTGGACCATATGGAAACTGCCCATGTTCGGCTGCAGCGACAACAGCCAGGTGATCAAGGAGCTCGAGGAGGCCAAGAAGGCATACCCAGATGCATTCATTCACATCGTCGGCTTTGACAACGTCAGGCATGTGCAGTGCATTAGCTTCATCGCCTAAAAGCCCCCCGAGTTACAAGGAAAGCAACTCCTTTGACGTAAAATTAGACGGATAGAAGTCCCTAATAGGTGGAGCCCATCCTCATGGGACCACACATCAAGGGCTTCATGGCCTACAAGCCCCTGGGTTGTGAGGAGTCCGACACAACTAAGCCAAGATCAAGCATCACAGCACAAAAGTAATGTCTCTTTAGCAATGCATAGTTTCTAGGAGCCAAAATAATCTATATGCATTGCCTTTGCTGTTGTTACAAGGATATGTGCTAATACATGGTTATGCTTGGTAATAACGCTGCAATGTTGCAACGGATAAGTTCAGCTGGAACACTACTTTAATATACGTTTCTACCTTCTATAATTGCCATCTTTATTTTGCATTATATTTTTTTTTCAGTTATCATAATAATCAAATTAATTGTATGATATAATATTGGAATGTTTAAATCACATCAATAGGCAATGAACATCAACGCATCATTTCATTCATAAGTAGGAACGATATATTTTTTGGGAATACAATATAATCTTACAAAAATGCTTTTGCAAAATCAAATTAACATGTCCCACACCTGAATCGAATGCTCCACCAAGGTTGCTAGAGGCGTGTCACGAGTACCTTCGATAGAACCTGCCGAAATTAGTTTGGGGCTGTCCAGGCGAAGCATGACAACAAAACCCTGATTGCTGTGAAGGCGAAGGATTAGGGCGAACCACGTGGCAAAGCCCAGGACCTTCGCCCCCAAGCCAAATGTCTTCGCCCAGTCCAATGGTCT